TAGAAAAATCTGAAGTCGTTTGTGGGATATGTCTTGGTAAGTTGAGACCAGACACGCAACGAGTAAAGTATACCATAAAACTCAAACTTAGGCCCCTCTGTTCATATGTTTAACCCTAGACTTTGTCAAAGTCCTTTGCCTCTCGTCTCCAGTTCCGCTAGCATTGCAACCGAAAAAGTTAAAAAATTTCTAGCTCGCGCTTTGCGCTAGGACCATTAGGGACCTTAAGCAAAGACGTTTTTGAGCCACGCACGTCAACCGGAAGTGAGGCCTTCTCCCTTTTTATATGCCTTGACGCTAACAAACTTGTATTGCTGAGTTTCTTTTCTCTTTTAAAGACGATTTACCCGAGAGTTTCAACCAAATCATTCCCCAGTGATGCAAAAAGTCCACTTCCGGTTGACGTCCGTCGCCCAAAAACGCTGTTGCTTAAGCTCCCTATTATCTGTCCTTAGACCATCAGGTCGAGAAAAATTTTGAGCTCGACTTGTGAGCAAGTCTAGTTTAACCCTAAAAAACTCTCTTTCAAAATACAGAAAGACCTCTTATGACATAAATCCCCCGTATGTATTTGGGAATTATACCAAACTGAAAGAGGCAAGCTTAAAGATGAGTTTTACAGGTTACATTTCTATAAACACTGAGCTACAGCATGAACATTAAATAAAATCTATATTACAGAGTACTTTCCTGTGGTACTGACTACTGATCCTACTGATATACATTGTCAGTAACTGTTCTCACATTGTGGATGGCTCCTTCTAAAATGCGTACCATTGATGTAGGGTTTAATGGAGCCGAAACCAATTGTGGAATTGCACATATTTTAGCCATCCTACCAAGAGCCACAGGCTCCTGATCCTACTGATTAAGAGTTAGGACTTTTAGATATTTCGAGCAACAACAATTTGCCGTCTGTCCTCTTTGAATGAATACAATAAAAACCATAATGAGTTTTTATAATGAAGTTTTACGTCTCTTTTGTTTGTAGTTTGGACCCTCTTTTTCGAGCCTGTGGATGAATTCCCAAAGTACAGTAAAAACCCACGAGAAAGAACCTGTATTTTCCCAAGTTACCCTGAACAGGATTTTACATAAATGATAGTAAGCACAAAGTTAGGCTATTTAGGTACTTAAATAGGTTCTTATTTTCTGAAGAAAAAAATTTATTGTAGCTAAGAGTATTTACTGGTGCAAATATAATACAACGAAAACAACTCCGAAAAACATCTTGTTGTTAGAGTTGTTTTTGTATTATATTTTCTTCATCTGTCGGCGGGTAAAGGTATTTACTGGTATTCAGTTGGATTTTCAACATTAGCATTTACATTGCAGTTGGAGTAAAGAGTATCCTGAATGTTGACTTATCTTATTTGCCCAAGTGTACAGAATTTTTCTTAGAGGTTTTAGAAAATATGACTTGCTTCAAATTGTAGGCTAAACAGGTATGGAGAGGGCCTAACTAACAGGTTCTTGGTTCTCGCTGAGGGGGGTTTTACTGTATGAATTAACAAATTACAGCTGCTGTGTAGATATTTAGTCATTTAATATTCACTGATCTTACCGACTGTCTCGAGCATGAGCAAACTTGGCTAGATATGTTTTGAAGAAAGTCGGACTGACTCCATCGTCCAAGCTCTCGTTCAGCCCAAATGAATCGCTGGCCAGTGCTCCAACAGCCATTGCCCCCTCGTTACTTGTGAAGCTGATAATGAGCGGTATTTGCTTGAAATCTCCCTTCATCCTCAAACTTTGAGGTGTTTCAAGAAGAAACTTTTTGTCTACAACTGGTGCCCAGGGGAGATAAGTAGAGTGATCCACCCTTATTGACTCTGCGGCTTTCTGTATGTCTGAGGCTCTTTTGTTGTGTATACAGGAAACCATTGCGTAGTGGTCGTTCGAACCACAATTCAGTTTTTGTGCAAGATCTTTTGTGATGCCTAGACCAAACGATGTTGGCTGCGTTGCAAAAGAACTTAATTCTACACCGCTCTCTGCAATAGCTTGATGAAAGAAATCGCGGGACCGAGGCGAGAGAACATGTAGAGCCACGCTGGATCCGCCGGCGCTTTGGCCAAATATGGTCACCTTGCTGGGATTCCCGCCAAAATTCGCAATGTTTTCACTGACCCACTTAAGAGCTTGCACTTGATCCAACATTCCATAGTTACCAGGGGCCGCCGAATCACCAGTCGTCAAAAAACCAAAGGGACCAAGACGATACTGGATTATGACCACCACCACACCCTGAAGAGCCAAAATATCACTGGGAGAAGTTACTGCTCCTCCGACGATGTATCCTCCACCGTGGATGTAAACCATCACTGGCAAACTCAGGCTGGTGTTCGGGCTGTAGATGTCAAGATATAAGCAATCTTCGCTGTAGTTGAAATTCGGAGTCATTATCACCGGCTTGAAAAAGAGTTCAATCAATTTAGACTGTAAGCAGATACTCCCATGTGTCTTAGCCGAATGAACCTTTGGTTTCCACGCTTTTGGCGGTTGTGGGGCTTTAAACCTCAGCTCTCCAGTTGGTGGAGCGGCGAAAGGAACCCCAAGAAACTTACTGACGGACTTGAAAGGACCAGAGACATTCGGATATGAAGTCACGAGTCCTTCGATATCTCCATATCTAGTTGACACTGTTTCTGCTCGAACATGAAGCCAACTTACACAGAATATGAACAACGTTGCTGATAGCATTTTCCACAATTTCTTCTTATGGAGCTGTTTGTTTTACCAATATCAAATCACAGCGGATCTTGAATTGTTGAATTAAGCTCTATAGCTTTTAAATTGCTTTTCGTATCGCTGCAAGCCTTTTTATATGGGGAGACTGAAAAATGCCGACGTCATGGAAGAGAGTGAATTCGTCACGATATCTTACCCAAGCACACAAATTGTGCTTGAGAAGTGAAAATTCAATGTCATGCAATGAAAATGTTTACTCAAAGGGTTTCAAGAAAACTTGCCATAAAAGGAAAAATATCCGATAATTATGAAAATGAAGAAAACAAACTGGACTTTGGCCTCCAAAAGCACGCGCATTTCCGGTGGACAACCGGAAATACAGTTGCATTTGTTCTATTTTGGTTTGAAATGGGGTACGGTTTTCGAGGGAACTACAGGAGTGTATGGTTTCAATTCCAAATGAGAGAAAGAGAAAAAGAAAGATGCGAATTTGAAATGAATTTAAAAAAAAGACCTTTTTGTTCCTATTCTAATCTAAGTAATGATGAAATAATTTCTTAGATGCCAGGTCTAAAAACGGGTATGGAGGTCCGAAAACGGTGTTAAAAATGACATATCTGGTCTGAATTCCCAGGAGTATCTCCCGAGGGAAAGCGCCTTAGATTCTTATTTATTTGGGGGAGTACGATTAGCGCTTATCGCCTGGACCGCCAGAAACATAACAATTGGCACTAAAGCACACAGTACGTTCCGGCTTAGCAGTGACGGTCAATTTTAGTAAACGGACAGCTAGCTTCTTGATGATACGGCAGCAGCAAATACTGCTTCCTTATAGGGTAAACTATAACAAGATTTTTATCAAGCTTGTTCACTTGTAATTGTGTACTTCACGTATCAAGAGTCCTCTCGGGAGACAATATTGCGCAACCATTCCGTGTCAATAAATACGATCACGTTCAATGGATTCGCATGGTTAAGTCACGTATCGGACCGTATCAAAAGTTTTTTTTTTGTTTTTGTTTTTTTTGTTTTCCGTGACGTCCTTCTGTGATCGTATGTGTCTATCTCAGTGCGCAGAAACGTGAAAAAGCTCGGTAGAAATTTTCATTTCAGCGCATTTCAGTAAGTTTTAATAACATGACGTGCATCAGTAGAGTCACGAAAGATATTATTATTAACTACATGTATTACATAATCGGTTAGGTGTCATGTTTATGCAAAAACGTGCTCCTGTCCTTAGCAGAATGTTTGAAAGGTATTCCCATATACCGTATTTATTCGATTAACCGCCCTGGGCGCTTATTAAATTTTTGGACCTTGAGAGTGGGCGCTTATTCGAGGTGAGCGCTTATTCGAGGCTGGGCGCTTATTAAATTTTCAGTATTTTCAGCAAGTGTAGTATGTTTATTTTGCAACAAAACAATAAATGGTAATGACAAAACTCGAAGATGTAACAAGGCAAGGTTCCTGTAAAATACTTTGAAGAAAACTCCGTCTTCGGGGAAGTCTCTTATTAGTACTTATTCAATTTTTTGGGGGTGGGGTGAGGTTGGTCACTTATTTGAGTTTGAGTGGGAGTGGGAGGGAGGTGGGGTGGGGTGGGCGCTTATTCGAGGCTGGGCGCTTATTAACTTTTTCTGCCTTTAGGATGGGCGCTTATTCGAGGTGGGCGCTAATTCGAGGTTGGGCGCTTATTCGAATAAATACGGTATTTCTGATCTGAATAGCCTTAAAAAGCATTAAGAATGAGTGCATCAGCGATTCGATGAAACGAGCTCATTTTTCGACTCCTGCGAACTATAGACCCTCAAGGTATTTACGCATCCACGCACTTACCCGGAATTTTATTTACAACGCGCAGGTCGAAATTCGGATCATCTTTTGACTCAGATATTGAGCAAATCATAGGTAGATACAGAATCCGTACAGAATCTGCCAAGAAAGGAACTTTTTATACTGGAGCCCAGGCTTGTAATAAACTGCCACGACATCTGAAGGAAGTTGACTCCAAAGTGATTTTTAAAACACTTCTTAATGATATTATTTTTTAGAGTTCTTGAGTTTTTATCCATCGACATTGTACATAGGTTTTACATTTTTTCTGATCTTTGATCTCTGTTGTAGTCATTTTTTCCTTTAATTGTTAAGTTTTTAGTTGCCCAGGGCACCCATATATAACAGCTTCAGCTGACGGGTTTACCCTGGTTAAATACCGTAAAATTCCGAAAATAAGCCCCTCCATGTATAAGCCCCTCCAAATATAAGCCCCCCAAACGGGCAACGCAAAACATCCTCCGTTAAATCGCCTCTCCAAATATAAGCCCCCCGGGGGCTTGTACTTGGAGAATTACCCTCAAATACAAAGTAAAACAAAGTAAAAACGGTAAATTTACTTCCAACTATAAGGCTAGCCCAATCAATTCAGAAACGCAAATTTCTTTCTGTAAATAAGCCCCTCCGAATATATGCCCCTCCAAAAATAAGCCCCTCAAAACGGGCCTTTGAAAAATACAAGCCCCGGGGATTATTTTCGGAATTTTACGGTATAAGGAACGATATTTTCCAAGTGCCCCAGTAATAGTAAAATATATGAAAAAGAACCTCGTTATAGAGAACAGATTTTGTCAGTCCCTTAGGCCTTCGTTATGTCGAGGTTCCACTGTATCCGGGGGGGGCTTAAAAGCGGATTAAAAAATGCATTTCAAAACAAGCTACAGAGTAGAGCAGATAAAATACTTTTTAAAATTACTCGCTTTTTTAAACTTCAAAACGTCGTAAAATTTCAATTCATTTCAATAAAGGCTAGAGGGGGGCTCAACAACAATGCTTAGTTGCACTACCATTTACATAGATGGTGTACGTTCCATAAAAAGGAAAATAATACGGTGTCTACAAGTTCTGTCAATAATGCGGTGGACTAGCAATTCAGTGGATAAATCCTTTCATTTATTCATTTTATATCAATATATTTATTTATATGATCAACTTCTTTTTCATATCACATTAGCAACCGCAATCTCAAGGGGTACTAGTACAACAGTAAAATGGATAAGGCAGCGACTTTCAAAATTGCTCCTGTAACAACAACTGAACTAGCACTGCTGACCAAATTTTTATTGCTATCAAAATTCAGTTGGGCTAGTTTAGGGCGATAATCATTCCAGAAAGACATTCGGCGAGGATTAAATGACGCCGTCATCTTTGGATTTACGTCAACATGCAAATAAGCTCTGTGAGTCGAGTTGTATTTCTCCCACGCGACACCGCCGACTGTAGGATCGCCAGACCGGGCGAAGTTTGCGTACATGGTCATAATAAACAAACTGACGTTTCTATCAGCGGTGTCATAATCAGGCAAGAACTCTGGCAGCCATGGTATCCCAAAATCATAAGGCTTGTTATCTGCATGGACCACTCCCATCCAGTCAGCGGTCGCATAAAGAGTAGCCTTCTTGGACTTGTGAGCAAACTCGTACATGTAAACTGGGGCGACTTGGCTGTGAATATCAGCAACTTCATGACTCGGTGCATAGTAGAGGTAATCTCCAATGAGGTCGACCAGTTGGCTTCTTAGCGCGTATCTATCGTTTTTGTCAGGCCAAGGGGTATACATGAACTCTAAAGCGTCTGCGATGATGTCAACGGTCTCTTTGCTAAAACAACAGAAAAACACGGCCGCTGCTTAAAATGATAGAAATGATCATGACACTACCCTGTTCCAGGCGTTCAGATAGTTTAGTGCGAACGCCTGAAACAGGCTAATATAACACAGTCAAAAGCTGTCTACACTGGTGAACAAAGTTTATACCACTCTCATAAGATAAGTTTGTTGTTGGTTCTCTCCCTTGCTCCGAGAGGTTTTTCCCCGGGTACTCCGGTTTCCCCCTTTCCTCAAAAACCAACATTTCCAAATTCTAATTCGACCAGGAATCAGGTAGACGAAGAACCACTTTGTGGATGTGCTACCTCCAAATAATTATTTATTTATTTATTTATTTATTATCTAAAATCAGGAGCCGATCGGCTCGTATTAAAATAAAATGTTCGGAGTAATGTTTGGCGTTAGGAAGTGTGGAACCCTTAAAATTGCAAGCCCATTTATGGTTAGAGGGATCAAGGAGCCAATGAGAGGCGCAAGCCATGCACAGAATGGAAGGAGGAGAGGGGCTGGTCTTTTATTGCCTGTGAGGTAGGAGGGGTGGGGGACTGGCCATTTTGAAAAAGCTTAGAAGATTTTCAAACCGACCTCCCACTTCATCTTACCTTTTTTTTGTTGTGAAAGTGAACCTCCCCCCCCCCCAACTGATTGCTGTAGAACAACGAATGTTCTAGCTACATGCTGAAGTTCACCACATACTTAATCTACAGTCGTGTTTATAGGAACAGTGTTTACTACTTATGGCCGTTACATTCAATTTCAATTCACGCTCGTTTCTGCTTTTGTACTAATTGAAAAAAGTTCCCATGTAACGATCCCTTATCCGAACATAGCTCCCCAAAACCAATCACGATTTTGAAAATGACGCCCCAGCAAGATGGCCTCCCCCCCCCCCTCCTCCCCTGTCACAGGTCATAAACGACCAGCCCCTGACTTGGGTAGAGAAAGGCGAGAATTTCTTCTCCTTTCCCCATCTACCACTTCATTCTTTAAGTTTTTTTGTGTATTTATGATAACTCTATGTTATAACAAAATCATGAGAAGAAAAACCCCTTAAGTTCTACTCTCTATGCCCATCTACTTTCGCCAATCTTTCCGCGCTTTCAAAATTACAAGATGGCGACTACACGGAAAAGGAGCGAGCCCTAGCTCTAGAAAACGACCTTTAAGTTCAGCCTTCAAGTGTTTCACAGCATTAAAATACGAGCTTGACAAAGGCTGAGATATATAAGTGCGCCGGACTTGAAATCTCAGGCCTAAGTCATAATACAATTGCATTCTCCCCTGATTTCTCGAAACCTTGGTATTTCGAAATTTAACCTAATTTGAACCAAAGCCCAACTTCCCTTCACCAGTCAAACACTGTAATTTTACCCCCCAATTTTTCAAGCCTTCCGATTATTCGAAGCAGTTTACAGGTTTACTTTCCCTCATTTGGTTCGAAAAATCAAGATTCCATAGTTAATCATCAACATCAGAAGTAGCTTCAAGCCCGCTCCTTGGCCATGGTTGGCGGCAACCCTTTTTGGTTAGTTTTTTCACCACTGCCAAATATTGTTTTCTTCATTTTTGTTTAACCACGACAAAGGTCATTTGGGGTCTGAGTCTGTATGCATGTGTTTTCATTAGGAATGGGGTAATGACGGAGGACGAAGGGAAGTGCAAAAAAAAAGTATCCAGATTTCATCACTCTGGAGGTTGGCTGAAGGCAAGTGGGTAAGCCATCCCGGTTGGGAACTCTCTATAATGACCTATACGGGGAGGCTCCACCCAGGAGGGGTATCTTTTTCAGGTTTCTGGAATAAAAAAGGGTAGGAATTTCACTGGTTGAAGTACATGAAAAGGCAGGGAATTCTGTCATTACGATCTCTAAAAAAGCCCAAATTGTCCTAAGAGATGCACTTTATGGCTGTGAAGGTCTGAAATTAAACATGCAATTTTGACTCACCGACTATTTCTCGAGTTTGCAAGCTTTCTTACAAAATCTTTAAACAAATTCAGTTTGACTCCACTATTCACGTTCTGCATAAGGCCAAAGGAAGCGTTCACCATGTAACCGAGTGTCGTTGCACCTTCGTGGCTGTTAAAGCTTATCATTAGCGGCACTTGTCTAAAGGATTTCGCTTTCCTCAGTTTATAAGGAGTGTCAAGAAGAAAGTAATTATCCACAACTGGAGCCCAGGGCAGATAATCATGGAATCTAAAGTTTTTTAAAAACGATGCCTTCAAAATGTCACTGGCCTTCTTGCCACGCAGACACTCCATCATAGCGTTAAGGTCACTCGTGCTGCAGTCCAAATTTTTTGCAAGTTCTTTAGCATGACTGACACCGATCGAAGTCGGTTGAATTGCAAAGGAAGACAAATCTACTCCGCTTTCTGCAATGACATGGTGAAAGAGTCCCTTTGACAAAGGAGACATCAAATGAAGGCAAACGCTTGATCCACCAACGCTTACACCAAATATTGTAACCTTTCCGGGATTTCCACCAAAATTTTTGATGTTGTCGTTGATCCACTTCAATGCTTCGACCTGATCTAACATTCCAAAGTTTCCGGGTGACGCCGAATCTCCGGAGGTCAAAAACCCAAATGGACCGAGACGATACTGGATCACAACGACTACAACCCCTTGTAGGGCCAGGATGTCACTAGGAAATGAGATTGCTGTTCCATACAGATAGGAACCACCATGAATGTAAACGAGAACAGGTAGACTAGCATTGACGTTCGGAGAGTAGACATCAAGGTACAAGCAGTCCTCGCTGTAGGAGAAATCTGAAGCAAACGGCTTGACAAGATATTCATAAGTCTTCCATTGCAAGCAGATATTTCCATGGCTTTTAGCAGGGCGAACGTTCGGTTTCCAGGCTTTTGGCCGTTGTGGGGCTTTAAATCTCAGCTCTCCCGTTGGTGGAGCGGCGAAAGGAACGCCAAGAAACTTGCTCACGGATTTAAATTCGCCTGTTGCATTTGGATAGAAGGTCGTCCATCCTTCTACCTTTCCATACTTTGTTGGCACAGTTATTGACAAAACAGTAATGAGAGGCAGAAATGAAGAAAATATCAACCAAGTTACAAACAAAAACGTTACCATTTTCCTGAAAAGATATCCTACGGATATATTTTGTCTAATCTGGGGCTTCAAGAGGATGCTCCCAGGTTATACTGTACTTTAATCAAACCCTATCGATTGCGTGATCACGTGGCTGTCCTAGGGAATTGTCACGGGTGTCTTTCTTTTCATATCGGTGGTCAAGAGTTCCATGTCCAGGGCGAAGGCTCCAGGTCGAGGGACGAGGGTAACAGTTTTTCCACAGTTTTCCCCCTTTTTCTTAGGTCTATAGTATTTAAAGCAATTTTAAAAAATTTTAAACGTGTTGCATCTTTTAACGTCGCGCGACACCGCCCTGGAAGTTAAGGGTTGGGGGCACATAGCTTTTGATACTTGAGATATAATAGTAAATAGCACGTGAGCAAAAAACTGTAGAACCTACAAAAACCCATACGTTATCATAAATCTGATTTGATTTACCTAATACACTCTAGAAATATGACAGAAATCAAGGTTGAATAAAGGAGAACATTTGTTTGCTTTAACTCCAAATCTGCTGCCACCAGTATTTCGAGCAACTAGATTACGTAATTAAAAAATCACGTTTCTCTGCGATACTTTAACTTGATTCCCACAAGTTCAGTGCATCTATTTTTAAGTGTGGTGAAAGCTGTCATCATTGTGATCAGTGTTCACTTTTATTTATCAACCCTCTTTGTGGGCAATAAAAGTTCTTAAAAACGCAATCTACATATAAATGTCTCGATAATAACTGGAGGTTGCAATCACTAGAACGAAGAGGAAGACAGGGAGTGTAATGATGTAACAGCTCATTATAAATATGCACCGGAGCAAGGTCATTAAGGGATTTGTAAGTAATCAACAATAACTTAAAAGTTATTCTGTCTTTAACAGGAAGCCACACTGAAGCCAGTGCAACTTTTTTAAAAAAAGAGTAATATGTGATCAGTCTTCTTCTAGCACAAAGTTAATCTTGCCTCGGTATTCTGTAATCTCTGAAGTTTTCTCAATTTTACGAGAGGGAATTCCATAGCGCAAACTATTACAATAATCTAATTTCGATAAAATGAAGGCATGGACAATGCGCTCAGTATCCGCTTGCGAAAGATATTTTCTGATTCTGCCAAAAGAATGAAACGAACGCAAGAAAGCGACAGGTGTTGTTGACATGGGGAACAAAAGCGGAGGTGTAGATCACGCGTAAGCTAGACCAAAGTCTTTGACAACTCTAGTAGGTTGAACGTACTGATCACCGACTTTAATCGAAGAAGTCGGTTCATCGGGTAAAAAACGCCAAGAGAAATGTATTATCTCAGTCTTTTAAGCACACTGCATAAATTCCAACTCATGATATCATCTAGACACGAACTGAGATTTTCTAAAGCAACGGCGCGGTTCCCGTTACGTATAAAAATGTAGAGCTGGATGTCGTCAGCATACATCATTGCGTCGAAGTAAGGCGTGTGCGGAGATGATATCTTCAAGAGGGGCCATATACAGCGAGAATAAGAAGGTCCAAGGACCGAACCTTGCGGAATCCCACAGGACAAATATCTTGGTCGTGAAAGAATCTTATCGAGGGCAATACATTTAGGACGATCTTTAACGCCTGATTCAATCAAACGAAGAACCATTTCAGAAAAGCCATAGCGATATCCAAGCCTATCGAGAAGAATAGCGTGGTCTATTGTGTTGTGTGAAAAGCCGCGAACAGATCTAACAGCACTAGAACTGCCTCGCCTTTGTTGTCGATGGCCTGGAGTATATCATTAACAACTCGTAGAAGGGCAGTTTCAGTACTGTGATGCTTTCTGTATGCTGATTCCATTTTAGCAAATAACGCATTGGTGGTGAGTTATTCCTCATTCCGGAAAGTTACTATTCTCTCTAATGTCTTAGAGAGAAACGATAAATTGGAGATGGGCCGGTAGTTGGCAAAGACATCAGCGTCAGATGTTGAATTAGTGACTTCTTGAAGAAAGAGGGGGAAATTCCCTGATCTAAAGACGCGTTCATGACATCAGTTAGAGTAGGTAATAAAACATCAATACAGTCCTTTAACAACCAAGTAGGTATTGGACCGAGAGCACAACTTTTACTTTTGGATGACTAAATGACAGTCTTGAGACCATTCGGAGAGACGTGATCACCAGAGTGACTGAAAGAAGTAGACCACCGACGATACATTAGTCAGACATTCAGACCGAGAACAAGGTTGTTGAGAGCTGAGAGCACGTCTGATATCGATGATTTTAGATTCGAAGAAGTCGCCAAAACTGTCAGCTAAGTGTTCAAGAGAGTCATGTGTCGGTAGATTTGGAGAAGACTTTACGCTGAACATACCGTGAACGAGCTTGAGAAGTTGCTTTATATTAGATGTACTAAATTTCTCCTTCAAGTAACTGGTTTTCGAAACCTTCATCAAGCGATTATAATTGCGGCAGGCTTGATAGTAAATTTGCTTACCAATTGATAACTTAGTGGATTGAAATTTAGCGCCTTTTAACACGCTTTAATTCTCGAAAAGATCGTCTGAGAACCAAGGCGCATATGGTCTTAGGGTCCTATCCTTCTTTGTTCTGGGGCGTACATGTCAAGTAGAAGTCGCAATGTATTATCATACGGGGTTGTCTTGTCTTCCAAGTCTTTCATCAACCAACTCTTTAAAGAAGACACGGCAGATGTCCTTCCCAAAAGCATCAAGATCGATGTCCCGAGTCTTCCGATGCGTAACAGTTATACGGGTGACAGGGGGCCGCGGTAAATTTATGAAGCACACAACCGCTTGATGGTCAGAGAGAGGATCTGGTAAAATTCTTGTATGAGAAATTATAGTATCCATTTCGCGAGTGATGAGGAGACCCAATGTGTGTCCCAGACGATGGAGTAGGGCAATTAACATGCTGCTTTAGATCAGCAGAAAAAAGGTCGTGGAATTGTTTGGCTTGCGTTTGTATTGTCATCGACGTGAAAGTTGAAATCACCACAAAGAAGAAATTGACCGGATGTAGAATTCAACTCCTCTAAGAACATAAAGAATTCTCATAAACACCTTTCTACTGTAATCAATCAGTTTTTTTTTTTTTTTTTTTTCAATTGCCGTATTTTTAGCTTATAAGGAGGGCGCAAATGGTCCGAAGGACCAATTGTACAGCGTCATTGATCAATTGTATGTCCATATAGCTTTTTGCCGACCGATTGTGCGGGTGGCTGATGTTACGAGCTACCCTGTTTTAGTAAAGACGTCAGCATTTCAGTTATCTTGCTGCTAACACATCTGTGGAACTTAGTTCTAAGTTACTTTGATACCGAAGGAAGTGATGAAAAGTGGAACTTGGTTCTAAGTTATGTTGATACCGAAGGCAGTGATGAATAGTGCATGGTTTTTCCAATACAGGTATAAACATATCGTCAGCTCCCAAAATTTTTGAAGAAATAATTGCAGAAGGGACAAATAGATTTTAAAATTGAGGCGGTCGATTATAAAATCAATTGTAAAAGTTATTGAAACAGAACTCTTTGCATTTACGTCATACGGTAGCTTCTGTATATTTAGCATTTCTTTTTTCAGGGAGTTTATGCAGTCTGTCTCTGAGTGGGTTCAAGAAAGGTTAAAAGCTGTAACACAGAGAACCACAAAAGCGTGGAAAACGATAAATAGAGAATCAACTCCAAAAGCGATTGTGATTATCAATCTAAGAGAACTATGATGTCCAGCTGCCTACTTACGCGCAATCTGGCTCACATTTTACGAATTTTTGCCTCTGGTCCTTTCAGTAAAAGTGACAACCAAGGATGGAGATATCGGAGGTTTTTCGGTTGACTATAGCAATATGTCTACCCCATTCAAACTCGTCAACAAATTTTAGGCATTCCTTTAACCGCTCCAGTGACTGGAGGGTTAAGGTATAAGACCCCGCAACCACCAGTTCATTGAAGACCATCGGTTTGCCAAGCGGAAATACATGGAAACGTTTGTTTTCAACCTAAGAGATTTGAGTTTCCCTTCGACGTTTACTCCCTTAATTTTGTGTGCAGTAAAGACTGGCTGTATCTTGATGTCTACACTCCGAACGTCAGCATGAGTTTTCCAGGATGGTCTACATTCATGGTGGTTCTTATGAAACAGGGTCTCCGTTCATTCATCCCAGTGATATTCTTGCTCTACAGGGAGTGGTGGTTGTGGTGATCCAGTATCGTCCCGGTCCATTTGGCTTTTTAACCATCGGAGACTCTGTGTCGTCTGGAAACTATGGAATGTTGGATCAAGTGGAAACACTAAAGTGCAGCGGGTCAAGTCAAACATGAAGCATTTTGGTGGGAATCCCAGCAAGGTTGCCTTTTTGACGCAAGCGCAGGCGGATCTAGTGTGGGTCTTCATCTGTTATCTCCTCTGTCAGAGGACCTTTTCCATCAAGCCGTTGTAGAGAGGGGTAGAACTAACTGGGCAACAATGCCAATTTAAGTCGGAGTAGATTTCCCCAAAGAAAATTCTCAAAAACTCAACTGTCAATCTGGGCAAAACGAAGGAATGATAGACTGCTTGATGCTTGAGCAAGAAAGACGCTAAGGACATACTTGGACACACTCTATTTTGCCTCGGCAGTAGACGACAACTTCCTTACCAGGCCAATTTCAAAATAACTCTAAATAGCCTGGCCGAGCCTGGCCCGTAGTAGAAACAGTGGATAAGTTACCTTATTTTAGGCAATGGATATGCATGGCATACGCATAAGAGAATGCGAATCATGTTGTCATAATTCCGTGTTGCAAACTCGATCAAGTGGGTAAAAGTAGGAGTTGAAGATCGGGCTTCCAGGTCGTCATTGCGCCACCCTGCCTTGTTGATTGATTGATATGGCAGAGATTCAAATTCGCTTTACTTTATCCTCCCTAAGTCTAAGCCTTTCCTCCCATGCCACGTCCTTAAGAATGTATTCCAGTTAATAGTCTCAGTTTAAACTAAGTTTCCTTTTTCCAAAAAGCTTAACTTCAAGTTTGTCATTTTCACTGACAGAAATCGACCGTCCCCTAAGGTCTATTACAATGTTTTTCCCTTTCTCATAAACACTGCCAAGCTCATTGCGGACGCCTTAGAATTTATGTACACCCCGTGACCTAATGAACAACGGCAAATATACACCCTAAGAAGGCAACGAGCAGACCTCATTGGTGATTATCCCATTGTGGCGCCATGAGATTACCGATACCCACAGCCAGGTTGCTCCTGTGAATCTGTGCGAGTTCGCCCACCATTCCATACATGATTTTTCGGCAAAGTGGCTGGGTGTGGTCCATGGGGCCAACTACCCATATGATTTTGGAATTTCATTTTTATCAGGTCCTTCCATACAATACTGCTGCTCTTTCTTAGCCGTTAAATGGAAAACAGAAAATACGGTTAATACGGTCATCAAGGGGCCTAAACATTTTGGCCGTGGTAACGGGTGACCGTATTAACGAGCGTTTATTTGCAAGAAAAAAGTATGGTCGTTTAGCCGGGCGGCGAAAAAAAAGAGGCCGTAATAACGAGGTGGCCGTAAGGCGGGGTTCCACTGTAATTTTTAGTCGTTATTGTATCTCTTTCTTATATACTACTATAACTTTAAAAACTTATTAGTGATCAAAACAACAGTATTCTCTAGTATCGCTGATGACTTAAGTGTATGACTTAATTATTTAGCGGTTACCGATGACATTAAGCCTTAAATGATATGCATAGTTTCACAATGGAGTCAAATCAGCTCGTAAAGTTCAACCGCCACAGTAGTTTAGTTAATTCAATTTCACAGGAGCTTTAGGGTTAAGGTAAAGCCTTCCTTTTTAAAGTGAATTTCTGGTGCAAAATTCTTTCATGGCCGATGACGTTCCTTTGGCATCTCATAAGAGACTTCTTTTCATATTGGCCCTGGCTTTAATTTTACCCAAGCAATAAATATAACTTTTTCTACCTGACAATTCTTCTTTGCTGTATAATTGTTTATTCACTTATAAAACTTGTCTCTTTTGTTACAATTATTATAAGGGAACGTGGTTAACATCACTGACAACTAGATACACACAAATTGTATTTTGTATTTGTATTTTATTTTTTTACTCCACCCTATAATACATTAGTTGTACAATAATACAATAGTTGTACAATATTTATAATACATTAGTTGTACGATATCAATTGGTACAAAGTTGCTTAAACTACGTGTACTTAATAATAATAATAAAAGAAGAAAATTAGAATGGAGAAGGGCACATTATAGTAAAACTAATCATGGCCCTTTAACAAGATTGACTTTATTCTTTTGTAGTTTTGTTGTTCATTAAAACACAAACACGCACGCACGCACACACACACGCACACAAGTCAATATTGAGCAAGATAATATTTTTTAAGTGCCTTTTGAACAGCATTTTCGATGATTTATTGCGAATAGAAAGGGGAGATCGTTCCAATAGTATTTTCCAATGACGGTAGGGCAAAACTTTCGAATATTAATTCTTGAGTGGGGAATGTGTAATTGTTGAGCAGATGCACTTCGTGTAAAATAATCATGTTGCTCAGATACAAGAAATAATGGAAAATTACACGGCTTATTATCAGAGACATAATCATATAAAACAAACAATTGTAAATTTTAACAATATCACGAAATTTTAATAAACCTAGATGAGCATAATGAGGAGTGATATGATCTCGTAAAGGAACGTCATTCGTTATTCTAACTGCTTTATTTTGTAGACGTATGAGCTGTGATAATGGATTATCATAATTATTTCCCCACAATAAGCAAACATATATGAGATATGGGTAAACAAGAGAATAGTAAATACTAGTTAAACATTGATTTCCTAGATAACTTTTTATCTTTGTCATAATATTAATACTTACTGACTTTATCACAAACATAGTCGATATGGTCATGCCAGGATAGGTGGCTGTCAATATAGATACCTAAGTATTTAATTTTGGATACTTGCTCTAAGCATTGGCCAGCTATCGATAGCGAAGGTAATAAATTATAATCTACTTTCTGACGAGGTTGAATGATAAGATATTTAGTTTTTCTTAGATTTAAGGTTAATTTATTTGCACATAGCCAGTCATAAATATTAGGTAGTTCTTTATGTACATATCTGATTAGTATGCGCCTCGAGAGATTTTTATATTTGCCTGGGTGCGGTGTGTATTGTATCTTTTTGTCCTTCTTGCAACTTTTAACCTCCTCAAGTGTTTTTTTTAGAAATAAAACGCAACTTTTTCGGGCTATTGGCGTTTTACTCGTCCGTAACGATTTTTATTTATTTTTTCTTTTATTGGCACGTATGAGCACCGTTCATTAACTGGCCAATATTAAACTAGAAATACGCCTCTCATGCTTACAGATATCTCCTAACTGTCTTTGTTACACCGAGGAAACAGAAGACCTCTGCACCCAGCCTACCTAGAAACGAACATGACCTAAGTTACAAATATGACCTTGCAATTATTAGACATCTTCAGAAGTAACACTGGCCTGCTTTGCAACGTGATGTACAAAACCACTCCCTGACGTGGCCTCTCGTGAATTTTATCACGAGTAAGTTGAGAGTCATGGTGTGCATTCAAGGGGGACCAAGTGATGATATAAGCCCCTCAGCGTACGGTGGTAAAGGTTAAGCACAAGTAATCAGCACGTACCTGTGCTAGCAACACAGGCAAGTCTACAAACTTTGCTAGTTAAGGTCAAGAGAAGCCCTATCTCAAAAGAATCATGGCGATTCAACTCACAATACTATTCCTTTTGTGTGCAGTTTTGTCTGTGGTCGCCTCGATCAGTGTGTTGAGAGTGTCAACAACTTATGGAGAGATCGAAGGTCTGACCATGCCTTCCTACCCAAGCGTCTCCACGCAATTTATATCTGTCAGCAAGTTTCTAGGCGTTCCTTTCGCCGCTCCACCGATTGGAACACTTAGACTAAAACCTCCACAGCCACCAAATTCGTGGGAGCCGAACATTCGTCAAGCTAAAACCCATGGAAATATCTGCTGGCAGGACACAACTTTTGAATTTATCTTCAACCCTTACGGAAGAAATTACACGGTGAGTGAGGATTGCCTGTATCTCGACGTCTACACTCCAAACATCAGCTTGAGTTTACCAGTGATGGTTTACATTCACGGCGGAGGCTATGGATCAGGTGCTGCGATTGGGTATCCTAGCGAGGTATTGGCTCTTCAGGGAGTGGTGGTCGTTGTGATTCAGTATCGCCTGGGTCCATTTGGCTTCCTGACGACTGGAGACTCAGCCGCACCTGGAAACTTTGGAATGCTGGATCAGGTGGAAGCGCTAAAGTGGGTTAAGGACAATATTGACAAATTTGGAGGTAACGCTAACAAGGTGACTATTTTTGGAGAAAGTGCTGGTGGATCGAGCGTGACGCTTCACTTGTTATCGCCTTTGTCCGATGGCCTCTTTCATCAAGTCATTGCGGAGAGTGGCGTCGACGTGAGCCCCTGGGCAACACAGTCCGTTTCGTTTGGGGCTGGCTTCGCTAAAGAACTTGCTCAAAAACTGAACTGCCCAACGGAAAACCACAAAGAAATGGTGGGTTGTATACGCAAGAAGGACGCTGTAGACGTACAGAAAGCTTCTACTTCATCCAGCTATCGTTTGGTTGATTATCTTCAGTGGGCACCTGTTGTAGACAAATTCTTTCTCCATGACACACCTCAGAATTTGCGAAAGAAGGGAAGTTTCAAGAAAACGCCGCTCATGATAAGTTTTAATAGTAACGAGGCTGGAATCATTCTTGGTGGCATGGCCAACTCTTTGAAGTTGATGGGTAGTGTAGAACAAGGAGTCAACTCTTCCTTTTTTTGCACTTTCTTATCAAGGCTTGCGCATGCTCGTAACTTGGGCTACTCGTAAGTATACTGTTTTTTTATTATCCGGGTTAGTTTTTTCTTTTTTAGCATACATATCTGATGAATTAGAAGTCACATAGACTTCCCACTAAACCACTGTTTTGAACGCAGAACTGAAGTTGCGAAAATGAGGGATGAAAATTAAAACGGACCCTTACAAAGTCTAAATTTCACAAAGCCTCCTTCCTTTCTCTCCCAAACTTTGAGCCTCTTCCTTAAGAAGCATTGGATGGTCAAGGCGCCAGTGTTTATGTCAACCGAAAATCAAGAGCATTTTGTTTCATAATCTGCCCGATGTAAATGAAAGCTGCGATAAGAGACAATGATGCTTTGATAAACTCTTCGAGACAAATTCTGACCAAATCAGTGTAATTACACACTATAACTTTACTCTACCTCGATAAGTGGCTCAAACAAGATGAAAGTGCTTCTCCTTTCTATCTCTTTTGTTGTTGTTGTTGCTGTTACAACTTTTTTAATATTCATAAAAAAAGATTTCGGCTGATTTATTCCTCAGAGAGAAGACCGCTGACGTTATCGCAGACGCTTTAAAGTTCATGTACACCCCATGGCCGGATAACAATGATAGATATGCACTGAGAAACCAGCTTGTCAACGTCATCAGTGATTACTTCTACTTCGCACCGAGTCACGAAGTCGCTGATATTCACAGCCGATATGCTTCAGTGTACATGTACGAGTTCGCTCATGATACGAGGATCACTATTGGAGCTCCGTGGATGGGTGTGGTCCATCTTGACAATGTTCCTTTTGACTTTGGTATACCACTATCACCGGACGGTTTCCGATATGACGCAGCTGATAGGAATGTCAGTCTGTTTATTATGGCCGTCTACGTAAACTTTGCTCGGACTGGTGATCCAACACCACAGCCGGTCAATGGTGTTACTTGGAGTGGCTACAACTCAAGCCACAGGGCTTACCTGCGAGTTGACCCAAATCCCAGGATGGGTTCAACGTTTTACCCGCTGCGTATGGCCTTCTGGAATCATTATCATCCTAAACTGGTGCAGCTGAAGTTCGAACCCAAGATAGTGGTCACTTTTACGGCAAACGGCGAGCGTCAATTTGTGCCACTTGACCAAGTTTTTCCTTGACTTGTGGTTTACTGTTCATTACTTAGCCTGTGTACAGACCCTTCACCCCTCCACTCAGTAAAAAAAAATCGATTTTTCTAAGGGGAGGGGAGGTCTCTCCACAGGCTATTCATTACTTTTACCATAAAATAAGTAAATTCACGCTAGTTCTCTCTATAATGACTGTTTTGCCTTTTAGCGTCTCCGTAAATCTCTCTAACTTTTGGCAACTTTGTCCATTTAAAATAGGCACGGCGTTCCTCACACTAACACTGGAAAAACAGGACCTTTTACAGAGATAACTAGATATGTCTGTAATTCTTAAACTTACAGATTTTTTATAAAGGTGGAAATTTTCCCCTCTTTCTCACAGGGAAAACAAAATGTCTGTAAAGTCATTTTTGAAGACATTTCATTAAGCTGTTTTAAATATTTATATCGAGAATGGTTATGAAAAGTCTGTATAGTTGAGGTCTCTCTCCCGAGAGCAGATTGCTTTTCTTCTGTACTTACCACTGAGAATGAAAAGCCTTCTTTCCTGGCTCCTTACAGGAGTATATGTTTTATCAATACGACATTCTAAACTTTTTAGGAAGCTTTTGCTGTGAACACCTTCTGATAGATTATTCATAAAATTAACAAAAGAAAGAAAACTGCCATGACCATAACTCTGCTTAATGCCTAGAACGGTAGAACGAGTATCGAGTTAACTTTTCGAATTTTCAGGAGAAGCCTGCCGCCGCGGCGTTGTTTTATCCATTTTAAGTTAATGTATGTAAAACGAAAGGAGTATTTTTAAAAATGACACTCAAACAAGTTATCGGTGATTTTAAAATCAAGGAAATGGTTTAGGCATGTTTTCTTTTTTGGCCATGGCATGGGCCAAGAAAAATGTGCGTTCAAACAGAGGATTCCCCTTCCCTCACTCCATAGGCCATAATTTTTGTAATCACGGTGGGTCCTAAATTTCAACCTGTTTCTCGTGCCTGGACCCTTGAACCAAAAGTCCTCGTTTGGAACCATGGCCTCAGTCTCTGAGCCGTGCAGGACCTTCGCAGGACATTGCGGGAATATAGCAGAGAGCATCTCGAACATTTTCGCTGGTTTGGAATACGTACCTCTAACCACACCCGGCGTAGCTAATCGAATTCAATCGAACTTAATTGAACTCAATTTATGGATTGAGTTCGATTGATTCGGTAATCGAACATAATCGAACAAGGAAATTTTCTGTGAGTTCGATTAACGAACTAATCGAACTCATCGATCGAATTAATCGAACACAATCGAACAGAATCCATGAAACACGTTCGATTGCCGACTTGGCAATTAGGAGATTGGATGCAATTGATCCGGGAATTGAGCGCAAATTCTGGTACAGCTACAAAATCATCCTTTCAAACACAAAATGTTGACGTGCTTTTAATTATTGAGCAAATCAAAGTGTCAACAGTAACAATAACAACCTGACTATTAATCTTATGAAAAGTAGGTACAGAAACAACCAAGGTTAAAACCATCGGTGTTATCAATAATAGCTTCAACTAGAACGGACCCGTCTTTATCCCTAATTTATCTCTTGGAAATTACTTCGTTCTCTGGTCAGGGTGAGAAGTGCTACGATCTCAATGCTTTACAACATTTTGACAGCTCGAAGTGTGGTTCCAAAATCACCGACAAAGAAGAAAGAGCGGTATGGACGGTATGTACACACCTGGCCAGTATTCCAAGGCGTATGGAACCCGGGATGGAAGCAGCAAGACCCCAAGAGGATGGGAAAGAAGCAAATTCTGTTGTTAAAAAATTCATAGTTAACGTGCGTAATGTTTTTTAGTGTTTCTTTAGGCGTCCAATATAATGCGTGCAGCTCTTTTTTGCATCCGTAAGACTCTTTCTGGCTAGCAATTCCTTACTGCAATTAAGACCCTGTTTACATGGAGTGGGGGACCCCGGTCTAGTGGGGTAAGTTTCTTTTGTTTTGTGTCCCCCAGAGCGTGAAAACAAAAGAAACCAACCCCACTAGACCGGGGTCCCCCACTCCATGTAAACAGGCCCTAAGATGACCAGATTGGACTGAGGTAAAACATAACTGGCTTTATAACAGCGAGACAGAAAATAACTACGTGGCTTTGCGTGAGATAAGGACTAATATGCCTCAAAAGTCCAAGTCGTTTTGAAAGTTTCTGATAATTTCTTCAGAGTTTCTGATAATTTCTTCCAACTCAACCTTTTGAAATTTCTTCAGTAATAGATTGTGATCGATTACTTCAAAGGCTTTACGGAAATCAACATATACTAGTCGCGTGACTTCATCATTATCCATTTTAAACAAAATTCACCTTCGTGATTCTGATATAAGTGCCGTTTCAGTGGAATGACCAGAACGTAACGGAAGGCTGATTGTAATTCATACAGCAAATTGTTCTCTTGAAGACATTTTAATAGCGAATTTGCTACATTTTAGCGAAAAAAGAGTTACTTAATCCCGTCACAGTGATATAATAAACAAAGATTCAATTTACATGCAGGATAGGAAAAAAAACTTCTTACACACAACCTTTCGATTCCTTCGCGGAATCTCTATAATTTTGCTACATGTTTTTCGAGGATTTTAGATGGGATTGGCAGCAATGATATGGGGCGATAGTTGTTTCTTTCGCGTTGCTGACCACTTTTGTGCAGTTGTTTAACTTGGCCGATTTTCCATTTATCAGGGAAAGTGTTAGTGCAATGGATAAGTTCAGTCAATCAGGACAAGCGAGTTCAAGTCCGGCCCTCACCGCTAACTCGAGTCCATGATCTTTGAAAAATAATCGGCCAAGCTTTTAAAGGGGCTAATAGTATGTTGTTTCATCTAATTTGATCTAATTGATGGTAAGAAGCGCGGTAAACAGTATACGAGGGAGAGACCAGGTGAACATTCATCACGTCTATTTACACGATTACTCTTAGTGCTTTCTCGATCCTCGCGCGAGCCTCCCGACAGAGTCACGGACTATTGAAAGAGCAAATGACACCACGTGTTGTAAATAGAGGTGATGATTGGCTATGATCGTGCTTGACTTGGCGCTGGGCTCTCCGATGTCGTATGCAATCAACGAGATAAATCAGGTTTTTAGAGCCGTTCAAGGGGTCATTTATTCGTCTGCATTTCTTTATGGTATAAACCTGTTTTTTCAGACAGTTGTGATAACATCCACCAACCTGACTGAGGAATCGTAATCGGGCTTCTAGCCTCTTGACATGACAGCAGCAAATAATTTCCTTTTAAGGAAAAAAACACAAGGATATCTATTCAAGCTTGTTCACTTCTAATTTTGTACTTCACATAATCACTAATGCTTTTAGAAAGCTTCACCTCAACTCAGAGCAACTTGCACGCAACCTTCTTTTGACTTTGTTGTCTCACCGTTCAGCCGATCAGGCTGTAAAATGCACGTTTTGAAGCTTTTTTTATTTGTTTGTGTGTTCCTTATTTTCTTCTAGAGTTTTTCTGTGAAGGTCGTGAATGTATCTAAGTGCGCAATAATATAAGAGAACTCGGTATGACTCTTCATTTCAGCACATTTCAGTAAATTTGTAGAAAATTATTCACTTGCTCATGATACCGTGACACGAAAAACATAAATATATACACTGTATCACTGCATAAATTACATAGATAATTAATATCACGTTTATGCCATAAATAACAACATACGTTCACTTTGTTGTATGACGTACTCTCATGTTTCGTGACTTTTACTCCGCCCCTGCGTGAAGAATATAAGCAGTGCACAGAAGTATTTTTCAGAACGTAGCATTTTCCTCGAGTAGAAGCATGGCTGTTGTTCAACTAACGAAGTTGTTAATATTCTTTTCGTGTCTATCTCTCGTCCCGGCCGTGACTGTGTCAACAAAATATGGAGAGATCGAAGGTCTCATAACCTCCTACCCGAATGCTTCTGGTCAGTACAAATCAATAAGCAAGTTCTTGGGGGTTCCTTTCGCTGCTCCGCCGATTGGAGAGCTAAGGTTTAAAGCCCCACAACAGCCGAATGGATGGAAAGGAGTTCGCCAAGCAAAGAAGCATGGAGGCATCTGTTGGCAGGGTCAATTGCTTGACTTATTTACGAAAATATTCGACCCCAATTTCACGTACAGTGAAGATTGCTTGTACCTCGATATTTACACCCCGAACGTCAATTTGAGTTTGCCAGTGATGGTTTACATTCACGGTGGAGGTTACGAGTTTGGTACCGCAATTACTTATCCCGGCGATCATTTAGCCCTTCACGGAGTTGTAGTTGTAGCGATAGAATATCGTCTTGGTCCATTTGGATTTTTGACAACCGGAGACTCCGTGTCCCCTGGAAATTATGGAATGTTGGACCAGGTGGAGGCAATGAAGTGGGTCAAAGAAAACATCAAGAATTTTGGCGGGAATCCCGACAAGGTGACCATCTTTGGAGCTAGCTCCGGCGGAACAAGCGTTAGTCTCCATCTCCTGTCACCTCTATCAAGAGAACTATTCAACCAAGCCATTGCAGAGAGCGGTGTTGATCTGAGCCCTCAGGCATTTCAGCCAACATCCTTTGGTGTCCGTAACGCTAAGGAGCTTGCTCGGATTTTGGACTGTCCTACGACAGACTACAGTGCAATGGTTACCTGTCTGCGCAAGAAAGAAGCCCAGGACATACTGAAAGCCTTAAAATCAACGCGATTTGAAATCGTGGATCCCACACAGTGGGGTCCGGTGGTTGACAAAAACTTCCTTCATGACACGCCCCAGAAACTGCGAGCGACAGGAAACTTTAAGAATGCGACTTTCATGATCAGCTTTAACAGTAACGAAGGCGGAGGAGCTTTGGGGATAATGGTGAACATGTCTTATATGGGAATCATGGAGAGTGTGGACAATGGAGTGAGTCCGGATTTCTTCAAAACGTTTCTCAAGAAGTACGCCTATGTTCGGCACAGCAGGTTAGTAAAATTAACATGTCTATGATTCAGGGCCGTAGCTTCCTAAAACAATTATTCAGTTTAACGTGGTTGAGAGAGCATATCCCTGGATGAAGGAGATATTTTTTGAAGAAACATTTTATGAAAAATGCTGAAAATAGATTTTCATCAGAGACTCCAGATTTCAAGCTTTTCTTGTCGGTGTGGGGGGTGTGGGCATGCCCTCAGACCACCCTAGTGGATGGTGCCTTTGGCGGTTACAGATCTTTCGATTTGTTTGGGTCGGCTTTCGTTTTTTGACAGAATGTTTAGGGGCATTAGAAACTTCATGGCACCTTTAGTAGTCTTTTCTACTCAGTCATTAAATAAAAATAACTTTTGGCAAACTTAGTGATCAAGTACAATGAAAACCTTACAAAACACTTAATATGCTTTCGTCCTTTTTCAGTAAAAAGACAGCCGATGTCGTCGCGGACGCCATGGAATTCATGTACACCCCATGGCCTGACACCAGTAATAGGTATGCACTGAGAAGCCAGCTTGTTGACCTAATCAGTGATTACTACTACTTTGCTCCCAGTCACAAAGTAGCCACTATCCACAGTCAAGTTGCCCCGGTTTACATGTACGAGTTTGCTCACAGATCAAAGTTCAGTTTCACACCCGAGTGGATTGGTGTCGACCATGGCGTTAACGCAGCATATGATTTTGGATACCCTCTGGTACCTATATGGCCCTTCCAAGACAGCCAAGCTGACAAGAATGTCAGCTTGTTCATCATGGCGGCGTACGCTAACTTCGCCAGGACTGGCAATCCGACAGCGCAGCTGGTCAGCGGTATTGATTGGGCGAAGTTTAACTCCACTCACAGAGCGTACTTACAAGTTAGCGTAAATCCAAGTATGGAATCGTCATTTAATCCTCGTCGAATGTCTTTCTGGAACGATTACTATCCTAAGCTGCTGCAGCTGAACTTTAGTACCAAAGAAGACGTGGTCAGCGGTGTACATCGCGTTACCATGGAAGCTCTTGCCCAGATTGTATGCTTCCTTATTTTGATAGTATTGTAACTTTATTTAGCTAACCGAAAACAGGAGCCCATAACCCTGCCGAAAACGATAGTGATGAAGTCTTTCCCCTTTTTTTTTTTTTAAAAAAGAAAGAACAACTAACTGATTTGTGAGTAGCCAAACTGTGAAATATCTCGTCCAAGCTTCACTCACTCACCACCTTTTAGCCTCTGTTCCCTGATCCCCTTTTTACTTCCAATAGAGAAATAAATCTGGCCGAATTTTGTTCTCCTCTTCCGTCAAGCATTTTTTTTCTGACAAAAACTGTCCAAAGTAGACATTACAACAACTAAGAGTACAACCATTGCTTTTAAAAGAAAAAAAATTCCTCCTTTCTTCCTCCCCGCTCTTTCTAATCATCCTCTTCTTTCCCTTTGCTAGTGCGATTTTCAGGCCAAAACCTGCCCTTTGGCCCTTTTTCAGGCAAACGGCTGTAATTCTCGTACTGTGTTTGTTTTCAAAAAATCGGCTAGACATATTTATTGCAATATGTTGTTCTGTTAGACCTGTAAAATGACTTGCCCTTTATGATTATGGCATTTTCAACATATAATTATAAGCTTTCAGGGTTCTAAACTTTGTAAAAGTAAAATGATGACACAAATTAAAAGTTTCTTCCTCTCAGAAACATTCAAGAAGGAACTAAAGACATGACTCATGGACAATTATTAATCGCCCAGAATTTTACGGTTTACAACACCATAACAATATTTTGACCTTCCGTTTTTATAATACTGGTACCCATTACAGGGGTTTCATTAAGAATAGCAGTAGCAGGAGAATAGTGTAAAGTAACAGGAGAATATTTTTGAAAGAACGAAGAACTTTCCCGGAAAGAGCTTGAAAACAATCCTGGAAATTTTGCGTTTTAAACCCTGCTGAGTTTGATAGCAAATTTTATTCCTCGTAGCTGCGGAGAATTATGCGTCATAGACGGAGAATTCTCCGATCTCCGATGCTTAATGAAACCCCTGCCATTAGTTCTTTGTTTTTTCTGTGTGTATTATGCTACCTTCTGCACCGCACCAGATGAATTTTTTAGTCAGACTGAAAACTTTGAGAGCATACTTATTAAATTCCGTATTTTAAAGCTTAATCGCTACGATACTACAGGATTTCAACAAAAACCGAACATAAATCTGGACATCAAAACTCCAGCAAAGGAGCACGCACGGCATTGTGGGATGTCCAATACGTATACTTGCGAATAACTTAAACAACCTAAACATTCGGTTTTTAAACTAGTGTATTAAAATACACTACAGGAACCGTTTAATATTTTCGCTCTGTTCACAAGGTACTGACGAACCAGGTTGTTCAGTGGTTTTACCTTTTATTTATGCACAGAGCGCTACTTTAGGAAGGGGGAAGGGGAGGGGGAGGAAGTGGAATAAGGGAGAGGGGGAATTGGGGGGGAGGAACCCTCATAGGAACCCTCTCCCTTCTCCCTTTCGCGCTTTTCTCCCCCTCCCCTCCCATTTTTTGTGCCTGTCACGCAGGCTACGCTGAATGTCACTTTCCCCTAGGGAAGCAATTTTCACGCGCGCTAGAGGAAGTTTGCTCCATTTTCTTTTCGTGAAGAAAATGAAGAACTACGCGTAGCTTCTGCTTCATGATCAGATCACAGTTTAGTAGCCATAGGCTAATTTAGCAACAGAAGGGAACGTCAGTTGATGACGGCGCGCGCAAATGCAAATCAAACAACTGGCTTGACCAATGGCAGAGCGGCAAATTGAGCACCGGAAGTCGTGTTTAGTCCTTTCCGCGCGCTTTCCCGTCGTCAACTGACGTTCCCGTCCTGTTGCTAAATCAGCCTAATATCAAAGGGTTTACGGCCGCTTCCTAGTCATATTTCGGACACACTTTCTATTTTGTTCTTTCCACACTCCTCTACCAATTGTTCACTCTCCTTTTTTCACACTGGAGAGGTAGTAGAAGAAGTAGTCGTCTTAGACTATACTGTTTACCTTTCAGTTGCGGATCTAGGGGAGGATCTCGGGGGTCCACCTACTTATTGGAAGAAGCCCATCACCCAGATGGTGATGGGCTCCTGTTATTGGTCAAACTGGGGCCCGCAGGGTCAACAAAAAATACTTTCGAGGTCTGCCCCCCTCTTTTCCAAAGGACTTGATGCGCCCCCCCTCTCCCCCTGCGCTAACTTACTTAAAGATCTGATTCCACCACAGTTTGTTGTTGTTGCTCTTCCATTCGGACTGATTTTCCAACGAGTGTGTGTTTTGTTTTGTTTTTGCTACTTTTCAGCTTCAATCTAATCGGTAGAAATGGTTTCGCGTCACGCAATGGTTTTAGTGTGATTTTTTTGATATTCGAATGCCAACACTTGACCTCTTTAAACAAATACTCATCTCTAGTCAGTGGGTCACTTATAACACTGATGTGAATATCCCCGGGGGTGTTCCTGGGAATTCTTGGTGGAGGTGTGTGCCCGGTTCTCCAAATCCGGACCCCTTTTTAGACCAAAAAGTGTTATTTTTCACACCGTTTTCAGACCCGGCTTCTAAGAAATCATATCATCATTACTTAGATAAACAGAATTAAAAAATCGCTGAAGATTTTGTAAAACCCATTTCGAATTCGCATATTTCTCTTTCTTTCTTACTCATTTGGGATTGAAACGATAAATGCATTGTTCCCTCGAAAACCATACCCGATTCTAGACCAAAATGGGCAAAGTCAAAACCCGTTTTGAGACCAAAACGGCGCAGCTACCCTTTGGGACAGCACAAACCCGATGTGGCTTATATAAAGGAGTACCCCTTCCCCCACCCCCCGAAGCATATTTATTTCCAGGTCTTTCGCCATCGCTCATAACTTCCCGACTGAATTTATGAGCAAGTTTGTTTTAGTCTCTATAATTCTAGAAGATCGAGGAAGTGCCATGACATCACTCACAGCTATTTTCATATTCTGTGCATTTTTGCCTTGCGTTCCGTCGGTTATAGTGTCCACCAACTACGGAAGCATTGAAGGTCTCGTGACATCGCATCCGGATGTCTCTGGTCCTTTCAAATCCGTTAGCAAGTTTCTTGGCGTTCCTTTCGCCGCTCCACCGATCGGAGAGCTAAGATTTAAAGCCCCACAACCGCCAAAGGAATGGAAACCAAAGGTTTATTCGGCTAAAACGCATGGAAACATCTGTTTGCAGATGGGAAGCTTTGCATTCTATAATGAGTACCTCAAATTGTTTACAGAAAGTCCTGTCTACAATGAAGACTGCCTTTATCTTGACATCTACACCCCGAACGTAAATTTGAGTTTGCCAGTCATGGTTTACATTCATGGCGGGTCTTACGAGTTTGGTTCAGCTGTGACATCCCCTAGCGATATATTGGCATTACAAGGGCTGGTAGTGGTTATCATACAATACCGCCTTGGGCCATTTGGTTTCTTGACGACCGGGGATTCGGCTGCTCCTGGAAATTTTGGAATGCTGGATCAAGTGGAAGCACTAAAGTGGATCAAGGACAACATAGAGAATTTTGGCGGCAATCCCAACAAGGTGACCATATTTGGACAAAGTGCCGGCGGAACTAGCGTAAGCCTTCATCTGATGTCCCCCCTCTCAAAAGATCTCTTCCATCAGGCTATCGCAGAGAGCGGAGTAGATTTAAGTAGCTTTGCGATTCAGCCAACTTCATTTGGTGTCAGCAACGCTGCAAAACTGGCTGAAAAACTGAGCTGTGCTGACAAAGACCAAAATGCTATGATAAACTGCTTACGTGAAAAAGAAGCTTCAGATATAAAGAAAGCTGCCGATTCAATCCCCGCAGATGCAATTGCAAATACCCAAAGTTTGCCCGCCTATCTGACCTGGGCGCCCGTTGTGGACAAAAACTTTCTTCATGACACACCTCGAAATTTGCGATACAAAAAGAATTTCAAGTCAAAGCCATTCATGATCAGCTTTAACAGCCAGGAAACCGCGGAGATTGTTGGCGTTTTATTCAACAGTTCGTCCTCTGGAGTAAGCCAGGCCTTTTTCAAAACGTTAATCAAGGTGTTTACTCATTCTCTCCAAAGGAGGTAAGATAGAAGATGATATCAGTCGTTTCTTACTCTTTCCGGGTGTTCAATCCAACACTTTTCCCTCATGTTGCGCCGTTTACAATTTACACTCAAAAGATCCCCCTGAATGGTGGCTACGGCATCTCAATTATGTTTTTAATTCAGCCCTTCTTCCACTCCCGAGCAGTAAAGCACCACAGTTTTCTTCAAAAAACCTTCATATTTTTATAGTGGCCAGGGTTAAAACACCTTATATTTAATTATAAAATAACTAAGATAGAACGCGCGCTCTGATTGGCTGAGAGGAGTGTTTGCATGAGAGTATGTAAACATGATTGTGACGTCAACATGTTTTGCTTTTCGCGCGCTAATCACGCAAGCACGAATTTGCAAAAGCTTTCAAGTTCAAAACTCTACAAGTTTACTTTACCCATTCCTTCGTCGGCTGAAACTTGGAAAATCGTTACAAAGAAAGTGTGTCGTTTTTTTTTTTTTCGCTTAAGCTGTCATTTTAAGCGAGAAAAGTCCGTATTTTGGAAAGCATCTTTTTATAAAACAAGCTGATTAAGCGTGCAAGACTTTGGGGATAAGACTTTTCGACTGGTAAGAATTTCTCTTTTAATCAGTGCCATACAAAGAGTTTTGCGTTTTTTCTCGGGAAATTTATTTTATAAAAGCAATAGAAAACTATTTTCCTGTGTTTGCATAGCCTGATATAACAACTTGAGGCGTTGGGAGAATTCTCGACAGTTATGTAAACCCTCGACTTCGTCTTGGGTTTGCATAACTGTCTCGAATTCTCCTAACCTCTCTCGTGTTTCTATCAGGCTGTGCAAACACGGAAACGGTTTCTATTGCTTAAATAACATAATTTTCTAAATCATGATCAATGGTCTAACAGCAACATCAAAATGTACTTTCTAGAGTAGAGCTCACTGACCTCATCGCAGACGCCTTGGAGTTCATGTACATCCCATGGCCAGACAACAGTGATAGATATGCACTGAGAACGCAACTTATAGACCTTCTCAGTGATTACATCTACTTTGCACCTAGTCACGAGGTCGCTGACATTCACAGTCAAACTGCCCCTGTGTATATGTACGAGTTCGCTCACCGCCGAGTGAAGTACAATCAGAACCCAACCTGGATGGGAGTGGTCCATGGTGATAACGTACCGTACGACTTTGGACTTCCCCTCCTTCCAAAATTTGGGTTTGCTTTTGACGATGCCGATAGAAACGTCAGTGGTTTTATAATGGCTATGTACGCAAACTTTGCACGCTCCGGCGATCCTACTGTCAGCGGTATTCCTTGGGACAAGTACAACTCCAGTCAAAGAGCTTACCTACGAGTTGACATAAATCATAGGATGGAGGCGTCATTTAATTCTCGCAGAATGTCTTTCTGGAATAATTATTATCCCAAACTTAAGCAACTGAAATTTGATACTACAGGTGCTGTAAAGAACGATGCCAGCCCCTTGGTTGCCATGGGAACGTTAAGTCAAATTGTATTTGTCCTACTTTCAGCGATGCTTTAATAGCAGAGCAATGTTTAATAGGCAACAGATGCAGTAGAACGGTGTAACAATTAGATAAATTCGAATAAAATTCTGGAATGAAGCTGTTATCGACCTTGATAATTGACCGTGATCAAAAGTGGGAAATTAGCAATTTTTTTATTATTTATTTTAATCTAATCATCACTGTTGCCCTAACTGTTCAAAGTTTTATCATTTGACAGAAGATTTAACACGCTTACCATTTTTGGCTTGCAATTTGCAATATTATAGAAAGCAAGTTTCCAAGAATTATTCATAAAACCACGCATAAAGCGCTGCCAGCCTAAGGGTGAATTTCCACTTTCGCGTAAATTTTACTTGCGTACATACCTAAATTTTACGCGCTTAAATAAAATAGAAGCAATGTATGAAAGGTGCGCTCAAACGTAAAAGTTGAGCGAGGTTCAACTTCTACGTTCACGCGCGACCTTCAATACATTGCCTCTATTTTATTTACGCGCGTAAAATTTAAGCGCGCACGCACGTAAAAATTTCAGGACACTGGAAATCCACCCTAACATGTAAAACATGCTTCGTACAACCTTGAAAAGGTCTTGCATGTTAGTAGTCGTCTTGAAAAGTCGTTGAATTCGGTTAAGGTCCTTGAAAAGTACTTGATTTCTTTATTAGGTCTTGAAAAGTCCTTGAAATTCACTACCTTCTTTACGCTACACCATTTTCTTTAAAATTAAATTATTTCGCCAAGGAAAATTTGGCTCATCCGCGGTGTAAGAACCTTTAAAACTTACGGGTAACGTAAAAACATTTTTGTGCATGAACAATATTTTATTTCTGTATCTTTCTTTTAAATGCTATAATCTGTACCTCATATGCAACTGCACTAAGTTATACTCAGTGACTATTGCCTTTTTGCAAAGCGTTGTTATGGAAAGTAGTAAAAAATAACTGTGATCAACCATGGCTGAGGAAGAAAACATCGTGTTTGATTCCGTTAAGTGTTTTAGCCAATAAGGTTTTCAAAAGGGGGTTAAAACAAGCCGATTTATTGAATAAATCTTAGTCCTTTAAAACTGTAATTTAACCTTGAAAAGTCCTTGAAATTTGTTTGTCTGAAGTTGCACGAACAATGTAAAAGCAGTAGATGGCAAACTTGACCATTCGTAGACAACTCCGACATTGCTCTAGAAGCACGACCTGTACTGGCTGCTAGAATGTCTTCTTACTGACAGTAACTGAGCTTTATAGCGATCTCCCAATTCTCCTTCATGTTCCTTTATGTCGAATCCCTGCTTCTAAATTGCGTGATCCTAACACATTTACTGATCGGTGACTGCTACCCCAAGTCCCTTAAGATAAGTTAGGACGCCTGAATGTGTTTGATTTTTTGTAACCAGAAGTAGGAATGGCAGCACACAAGTCAATATCATGGAGAAAATACATAATATTATATTATACGCTATATGCGGTTGATGAGGAACACTAGTTCCGATTTCAATGGAGGATCTACCGTGTCAGAAATCAAGTGAACTAACGTAATAACCCGATATTTAGTTTCACAGTAAGAATGGCTTAGACAAACACTTCAAGCAAAGGTTTTGGGGATCATTCTGGTGGACAATATGAGGAATCAGGTCACTGGTTGCTTCTAGTACTGTAGATTATTCCTAACTAACGATTGTCTACCTAAACAATCCCAGAACTCAATGCGCCGAAAGTTTGTACCAATTCTCCTCGCAGTTTCTGGAGTAGAGAATGGCGTTCATTTGACAAGTCACCCACTTTCTTTAAACATTTCATTACGTGTTTAATTCTGTTTTTTAGCGTGTCTTTTTAAAAGAAACTGAAGTGATATGTGGGTTGTAGAATGAACCGAAAACAGGCAGCTTTCTAATTGATCAACCGAGTTGATAAAGTTAATTCACTATAATATATTGATGACGTTTCGAAAACTAGCCCAAGGGTAAATCAATTTTAAGTAGTAGCAAAATGTTAAAATGAATAAACAACAGACAAATTGGCTCAATAAAACTCTTTCGTTTACGTTCTTGATTTGGCTTACTGTCTTACCTTGGTGTGGGGAAAGCTAGACTGCGGATCGTCATCTCCTCATTAGAACGATCGAGTAGTGATAGATGACTATTTCATTTCTCGAAGATGTTAACGGAAGCGGTGGCCTAGCTTTCTCCCTGTTCTGCCACTGATAGATGACATGCCTGGTGGTGCATCTAAAACTGTCAGTGATTTTAAGAAAACTGTTTGGTTCTCGAAATTGTGTCTATGTTTTGAGTAAAATTTCAAGTCTGAACCTGTGCGAGCTCATTTAAAGGTCCAGTTTAGGTAGAGTGCTTTCAGTTATTAGACTAAGGACTTGAAAATGCAATCAGATTACATCGAGGCAGGCTTACTCGACCTACAGATACGAAGGGAAGACTTGGGAGGCCAACGGACCGCTAAGATCTGTCAAGTGGGTTAAAGACAAGTTGCCAGTTAAGCCCCCTTTCTTTGTTTCTTGAAGAAATTCATTCAAACCGATTATTCAAATTATTCCGGATGGCATGTCGTCAGAGCTCCCAAGAACGCCTACCCCTAAAAAAATCCTGCCTAAGGACCTTGCCTAGCCCACCCCTAAAGGTTTTTCTTGTCCCATAAGCTGCCAGTATTCACCTCTTCGAAAATATCTTAGTATAATGATAATCTAGCCAATGTTACGTAAAGAACAACACCGCAACTTTATTAACAACAAAGAAACATACACGCCCACATGTGGCAAAAACTGTTCGAGGGACACTACATACGTGTACTGGTACAATTGAGACACTTTGCAAGGAAATAAAATAGATTTACAACATACCAGGAAAAAGAGAGAACTAGAAAAGAATAATGTCAATTAATAGGCCTGTGAGGTTTAAGTTACAGATTTAGGGGTTGTTTACATGGAGGGAGAAGGATCTTAGTACTAGGAAAATCGTAGAAGGTGGTTCATCCCAGCACCAAATGTTTTCTGTGTATTCAGTTTACATCCAAAAGAGTGCACTTATCCCTCGTGGATCTTCCCAGCTGAGTGAGTGGTGGGAAGACCCTAGCACTTCGGTCGGAAGATCTTAGTGCTAGGGACAAACCAGACAAGAATGGTGGTGGGTTGTTCAGGGGTAATCACAACAAGGCCAACCAATTCGTTTGGCGTTACCACGAGCAAATTATCGTGATTATTATACATTGTACTCACTATTTGTCTTCTCATTGGCTAAGAGCCTACAGCTAAATTTGGAAATCAGTGCAACCTACCGATTAGTCAGGGGCACCCAACGAGGATATAGTTCAAAACCACTTAACATAGCATTGTTGAACGTATTTTAGTATTCAAACGGTAGATATAGGCATATTTTTATCCCCTAAAAACTTTTCATCTGTTCGGATTTCCTAGCTGAAAATCTAGTGATCCGAAAATTATAGGGATAAAAACTTACCTTCTCGAAAATTTCAGCCATGAAAAGGCTCCCGAAAATTCTAGGTGGCCTTTTTTAGGGTCAAAATCCGTTAAAAATGAGTAATTATACCATTTTGTAGATGTTCGAAAATCCTAGGAGAGGCAGGCAAGCAAGAAATTTTGCAACCAATTCTCCGAAAATTCTAGATCTCAAATCGTCTTCCGAACAGATATTTTCCCGAAAATTGCCGTTGGGTGCCCCTGATTAGTTAGTTATCTGCTAGCAGATAACTGACTAGTCTGTAGGTTGCGCGCGAAATGCATGATTTCCAATAACAATACCAATTCAGGTTCCTTGCGACGGTGTGGTTGTCGATTTTTTCGTCAAAACAATGTATAATAAAACAATTATTAGATTTGTTTTTTGTGATATCCTAAATAATCAAGGTCTGGGTAAGTGTTATCAGCCTCGGCCTTCGGCTCAGCTGATAACACTTACCTCGACCTTGATTATTCCGGATATCACAAAAACCTCATCCAATAACTGTTTATAATTCTGCTGAAAGGTAGTTAATAACGCCAGTAAAGAGGGCAGAGGGACTCAAATTGCATTCTTGTTCTTGTCATCCGCCATCTTAAATTCCTTCACTACTTAGGCACCACACGGACCAAAATTTCGGTATGTAGACCCAGCCAGGATTTTCCTGGTACTTGAAGCAGTTGCTTCCTCCATGTGAACAGTCCCTTATTTGAGATTGGTTTATTACACTGACTGCATTTGTTACCAATGAACCGATCTATTGGAGGCAAGACATTAAACGCATCGCTGAAAATACGATAGACAAAATCTGAATAAACATTCCCTTGCCACCCCCCGGGGGGCTTGAAACGCTATTCAATGATCATCACACCCGTATAATGAAATTTTAGGTTTTCAGTGTGTGGAATAGTAATCATTCCACATCCATGTCTGGCGAGGAGTAAATGACGTCAGCATACTGGGATTTTACGGAGGTCAGTGTTATAGCTTTGAGTAGATTTTGTTCGAGTTTGTCTGATTGGTTTACTAGGTGTTGTCGGTTTAAAAAAACCGCTCTGCAAAAATCAAGACCTCAAATAGCCTGTTCCAAGCGCTCAGATAGTGGAGAGCGGTGCGAAGTAAAGAAAGCGATGAAAAGTAGAGGGGGACTGGGGAGGGACTCCTTTTTACTTTGCAACGCTCCCCACTATCTGAACGCCTGGAACAGGCTAGACCTCAAACAACACTGAAAGTACGATGAGGTGGATATTTACTTTTTTTAACATCATTGCGTCTAGGTGGCGCCATTTGTACTAAAAATAGCCCAACAAGCATTTCATATGGTTTAGCGACGTCTCTATTCTCGGTTATTCTCTCCCTCTTCTTTCGCCTCTCTCCTTAAATGACATTAACCGAAGTGTTCATCGATTTAAACTAACTCTTAAGGAAAAAAAATAACTGACATGAACCAATAAAATAAAGAGCCCTAATCTAAAGGTGTGATTATTGTTCCTGACCCATGAAGTGCGACAATATTTTACATTACTCAGGGCCAGCGCAGGGCATTGTAAATCGGTCAAGCATTCTAAGCAGCTTTGCCACTAACAAGCTACAGATATATAGGAGACATTGACACCTCTTCTACTTTAATGTTAGAAGTATTTCTGAAGAAGCAATTGACGATGCCAGTTTCACTATTAGAAATGTTACTGACCACTACGCTACTTTGTGCAATTTTCCCTACTATCCAGTTGATGACAGTGTCAACCAAGTATGGCGATCTTGAGGGCCTGATAGATTCCTATCCGAATCCCTTCACTCCGTTCACATCCGTCATCAAGTTTCTTGGTGTTCCCTTCGCCGCTCCACCGATTGGAAATCTGCGGTTCAAGGCACCTCTGCCGCCAAACGAATGGAAACCGACGGTTCGCCAAGCAAAAGTGCTCGGAAAGATCTGTTGGCAGGATAAAACCAACGAATTTCTAGACAAACTTTTTAATGAAAATTTCATATACAGTGAAGATTGCTTGTATCTCAACGTCTACACCCCGAACGTTAGCCAAAGTTTCCCAGTGATGGTTTATATCCACGGTGGTGGCTACGAACTCGGTTCGGCCCTTCCATGGCCCGGTGATATTTTGGCTCTTCAGGGACTGGTAGTTGTAGTGATTCAATATCGTCTTGGTCCATTTGGTTTCTTGACTACCGGAGATTCCGCGTCCCCTGGAAACTTTGGAATGTTGGATCAAGTCGAAGCTCTGAAATGGGTCAAAGAAAACATTGAGAATTTTGGTGGGAATCCCAACAAGGTGACCATATTTGGAGAAAGCGCCGGGGCAACAAGCGTAAGCCTCCATTTGACGTCGCCTCTTTCCCAGGGGCTTTTCCACCGAGCTATCGCGGAGAGTGGTGTAGACTTGTGCTCCTGGGCAATTCAACCAACTTCATTTGGTGTCAATTACGCTAAAGACCTTTCTCAAAAATTAAACTGTCCAGTGGGTAGCCACGATGCTATGGTAAACTGCATACGAGAGAAAGGCGCCGCTGACATACAAAATGCGTCTAAGTCAACAAACAGTTATCGGTCTGTTGATTACCTTCAATGGGCACCTGTTGTGGATAAAAACTTTCTTCATGATACACCTCAAAATCTACGAGGAAAAGGCGATTTTGAGCGAGTACCGTTAATGATTGGTTTTACCAGCAACGAAAGCGCGGACAGTCTTGAATCCATGGCGGAGAAGTTTTTCGGCCTGACAGAGAGCGTAGACAATGGAGTCAGCCCGGTTTATTTCAAAACATTTATAGCTAAACTTTCGCAAGCTCTAAACAGCAGGTTAATCTAACACTGTATATTGAATGTTTTTCTTTTTATTATTGCAAAAATTTATCACCGGAAGAAGGCTTCCACACAGGTCGCTGAAACCTTGGGGCACTGTCGCCAACAGCAGGGACCGCGGAGTATATTTTGGATCGGTGGGGCTAGCTCGCGCTACGCGCGAACTCGACTGACTCCAACGGCGCCACTTGTCGGAGGACATAACGTCTCTGAAAAACTTTGAAATTTAGAGCTTCTGAAATCAATGGAAAGGCATTTACTATTTCTAATTTTATATCACCACTCTGTTAGTTTTCTGCACAAAAACGTACATTTAAAACATAATTATAGCATGATATGACGTTCATTCCAAGTGGCAAAATTTATAACCTTTTGCAAGGATAATCACGGCCACCTTCGCTGTCACTGAACAGTAATTCTATTCAAGAGAACAACTTTTACAGTTAATTATGATGTTAGTCCCGGGCTCAAGCCATTTACCGTTTTCGTCTTTCTAACTCTTCTCTTTTTTCCTTTTTCTTTTCTTGTTCTATTTTGACAACCTTGATCATGAGCTGAGGCCATTTCCCTTTCATCTGAAGATGGCACACTCTCAAGCTGTTGAGAAGCTGGGGATCATTTTTCGATGATTTTGAATAAAAACAGCTCTATTTACAACCACACTTTCACAACCTCAAAACAACTGATTTTCTGACCCAGAAACCAAACTCGAGTATTATTACTGCCCATTCAAATCATTTACACGTTGTATCATTTGTTTTAGGAACCAAACCGCTGACCTAATCGCAGATGCCTTGGAGTTCATGTACACCTCGTGGCTAATAACAGTGACAAATACGCCCTGAGAATCCAGCTAGTAAGTCTCGTCAGTGACAAAGAATACTTCGCACCAAGTCACCAGGTCGGCGATATTCATAGTCGAGTTTCTTCGGTTTACATGTACGAGTTCGCTCGTCGACCAAAAACTATACAGGCAGCCGAATGGATGGGTGTGCCTCACGCTGCAAATGTGATATTTGACTTTGGCTGGCCATTCCTACCGAATTTCGCAGGTGTTTACGACGACGCTGATCAAAGCGTCTCTTTGTTTATTATGACCACGTACGCAAACTTTGCCCGGTCCGGCGATCCCACACCCCAATCAGTCAGCGGCATTACCTGGGAAGGCTACAATTCGAGTCACAGAGCTTACCTACAAGTTGACACAATTCCCAAGATGAAGTCGTCATTTAATCCCCGTCGAGTTTCTTTTTGGAATGACTACTACGTGAAACTGACGGAGACAAACTTTGATTCTAAGGAGATAGTGAGCAGTGCAAGCCCCACCAATGTTGCCATGGCGGCGTTTAATCTGATTGTTGCTTTAACCATCTTTTTCAAGTGACAATAACCATAACATTTTAGTGACCACTGTCTCCTAAAGATAAGTCACGAAGAATTTTTAATTCGCCTTCGTAATTTAGACCCTGTTTACATGGAGTGGGGGACCCCAGTTTAGTGGGGTAAGTTTCTTTTGTTTTTTGTCCCCCAGAGCGTGAAAACAAAAGAAACCAACCCCACTAGACCGGGGTCCCCTACTCCATGTAAACAGGCCCTTAGTCCACAGCTATTTAGTAGCTTCAGCGTAACTTTACCTCAAGGGAATTTCATCAGTTACTCGCTTAAACTTCTCGCAAGAAGCAAAATAATGGTTGAAAAACGTCCTGCAAGTTTCGATAACCCAACTGTTTACATTAGATTTAGCCAGGGCTAAAAGCAAAGCTCTTCTTAGTATACTTATAGTTTACTCAATGAAAACATAAAATCGTATAATGCTAAACGGCGACGGCAACGAGAACGGAAAAAAATTAATAGTTCTAATCAGCGAAAAAACAACTTTCCACGTGCAAGACACTTTTTTCTACATTTCTTTGCCGCTGTTTATGAAGCTTCTAGCCTCCTCCGCAGGCTTCACTGTCTGCTAGAGAACGAGTGGGAGAATGGTGTTGACTGGCGGATACAAATCCAGTTTGAGTACGGAATGGTGGGGGAATTGTGAGTGACAAAAGCCTTTTACCGACATCAACAATAGTTTGTTAGTTTGTCGAAAGGAAAATGGCGTTAGAAAAGCTTATCCAGGATATTCCTTCATCTGAGTCCTCCCTGACTAGCAAATAACGTATTTATATTTTTCTACTGGTAAAATTTACAGGAAATTTTTTTAATAAACCTCCAACCTAGGCACATGTAAGCCTATGTGTGTTGATGTAGCTGGCGATGGATTGCAAAACTAAAACCAAGGTACAGGGGCGGATCTAGGGGGAGGGTGCAGGGGGTGCGCCCCCCCCCCCCCCGAGATGACCTGCGGTTTTCTCATACAACTGGTATTCTGCAAAAAAAAAATATGTGGTTTATTGGTGTTGAAGTAGAGCAAGAGACGAGTGCACCCCCTCCTGAAAAAAATCCTGGATCCGCCCCTGAGGTATCATACAAGGATAAAAGAATGAGCATACTTTATAGAACGCTACAAAAAAAAATTATCCGTGTTGATGTACTGTGCGATCGAATTATACAAAATCAAAACTAAACTTAGCTTCATTTACTGAACTTAAGCTATAAATTTAGCCAAGGCTAAAAGCGTGGCTCTCTTTAGTGTTATATACTTATTGTTTACACAAACAGAATACGTGTAATACTAAGCGGCGACGGAAACGAAAACGGAAAATAAACAACAGATCTATTTAGCAAAAAACAACTTTGCACGTGCAGCACACTTTTTTGTACATTTCTTTGCCGTTGTTTTGCACGACACAACGTAACTGCCAGAAACTTCCTAAATCCTAGTTACACGTTTTATGAAGGAAATGTCATATGTGTTCCTATTCGCTTTGTTTCATCGCCGCTCATTTTCACCTTGGTGGCCGCTAGCATTTCTTATTTTTTCATCACCGCTATAAAGTTTTCATGTTTTTCTTCCATTGAAAATGGTCTCAAACAGAGGAAAAATTTCGAATAAACAGGGCTTAAAGGCAAGATTACAGTACTTAGGGCATTTTTAACACGGAGGTGGGGAACCCCAGGCAGGTGATGTAACCTGCTTGGGTGGGCTAAAACAATAACCCTCCTTTACATGCAATCTTACAACCTCCCTATCCGGGAGTGCACTTTCTCAAGATTATTGAATGGTCGCCAAGCACGTAAACAAAAATAATGCTGGCAAACCTGTGGCAAACCAGTTTTTTGGCGATTAATGCTCTGCTACACTCACTCGCTGCTCTAGCTGCAACCTTCACTGCTGTGGTTTTCTATTGATACCTTCAATAATGATGCAAAGCCAACGCCAAAGTGAATTTTTCGCGAATTTGATGTATCACGAATCCGACTCCGGCTAGGCGGGTTACCCCACCTTGGCTGGGAGGGTTACCCGAGCTAGCATACCGGGCTACCCGCCTTGGCGGGTCACCCCACCTATCATGTAAAATGGTAAACGTGATCAAAATATAGAGCGTTTTCACTTGACGTTACGACGGCCATATTGGTGTTCCAAAACAGTGAAACGGCGGCCATGTTGGTGTACCAAGACAGCCCTGTGGCAATTGAACCCTTTCCTTATGTAAAACTCTCTTTTGTTCCAATAAATTAGCATAGATGCTGGCCACGTGAGTGCAAACACTCTATATGGACAGGCAGGTTACACCACCTCAGCGGGTTACCCATTCTCGGAGACCCAGGGGCAGTGAGTCGGGTCGGGTGAAAGGGCGGCACGAAAGTTTTCAAGCTCTTGCCCGTACTTGAAAACTTTCGTCCGCCTTTTCTCCCGACCCCACTGACTGCCCCTGGGTCTCCGAGGATGCGGGTTACCTCACCTACCTGGGTTCTCCACCTCCATGTAAACGGGCCCTAAGAGGACCTAAGAGCGCTCTCGCTTGTCTTCTTGTGGGAATGTTTGAATGACAAAAAAATTTTCTTCGGGGACTGGACATTACAAAGGACGACGCTGATGGAATGATCAGCTTTGTCAATCCAGTTGTTCTGGTTGTGTGGTGTAGGCGGTTTTATTTATTTATTTATTTATTTTAGTTTTATTTTATCATTTATTATTATTATTATCATAATTCCTTTTTTATCTTTCGCCTTCGAGCTTGACGGGGAGGGCCGGGGGATAGATAGAGAGATAGATAATGACGTCAGTCTCTATTTACAGCTTGTAGAACACTTGAGCGTAATTCATTCATGAGCCCACGATGCTGCTGTACCATTGGAACACACACGACGATCCACGACGATCACTTTTCGGCGACGATTGAAATCTGGTTAGGTTTTTATGTTTTCCAGATGTACAGCGCAAAATACTCTAAAGCACAAAGTTGTGCCTATTTCTGCTCAAAGAATGTCTTGGTGGCCCTCAACACTCTATACATCGTAAGTACGCGGCGAAGAATTTCATATTTGTGTAGCAGCGAATCATCACGAGCTTAAAATATTGTTTGGACTAGGAAAATGATTTTAAGGCTTACGTGGCATTTTGCGTTTATTTTGTCTGTATTTTCTGCTTCTTATCAGATTGATGAAATGTAAATCGTTGACTACTTAAAGTGATATTGAGACCTAGAAACTGGCAACTTTAATGGCGGTTTGCCGAAGGAAATGTTTATAAACCAGGTTATAAACCGCTGTTACCGTGTTGTTCATTTGCATGCCAACTGCTGGATTACAATTGTTCAGGACTGAAATTAAAGTGACAGTGGGTTTTGTACTGTCACCACTAGCTTGAAGAACATTCTAATCACGCTAAAACTTCTAGATCGCCGCCACTTTATGTATTTCTGATTTGTCTTTGTTAAAATCAACTACTGTTTTTTTAATCTTTTATGTTTTAGTAGTCTTATTGAGCACCTTGCCGTTCCACGTTTCTTGCATAAATAAGTTTGAGTTATTTTGAGTGGCACGTTTAACTAATACGCCACCAATCCCATCTAACAATCACTGAGTTTGGGTTATCAAGTTTTATTTACAAGAAATGATCCATACATTGTTCAAACTGCTGAAAGATTGTAATAAGCTGGTTTGAATTCTACAAGGCAAAAAATCATTCATCCAAAATATTTTGAATGCAATTTTGAAGTTCACATTACTGTTTCAACTTTTCAAATTTTTTAGGTTCCAATCTATCTATCTACTGGGTAATCCCAATTACATATCAACAATGAAATGCTTCTTTGATAAGTTTGCAATAAAGCTTATTTTAATGCGGCCTGGCCCTGTATGTCCTGATGTATTGCTCAATACTTACAGTCAAGGCAGGTCAAGCGTACCCCCAAGATTTTATTAATGAAATGATTATTTTAATAAATAAATGCATTAGTCATTCTCATGACAAATGTCAAATTGAAATCTGCATTCCTGTATGCGAAGTGAGAAATGAATATTTTTCGAGAACTTCTCTGTATTTGGTCAGACTGAAAATCTTTGAATGAATAGAATTACTTTGAAGACATTCACATAAAATTCAAGGAAACTGAGCCGGTAGAAATTTCATAACTGCCTGGCGTGTGAATCCACTGCTCATTATGCATGCAAGAATGCAGTGATGATTCTGAAATCTGCAACTACAAACAGATTCAACTTTTGAACAATGAATTCATTAATGGAATCTTGGGGGGTATGCTTGACCTGACCTGACTGTAAATAGGTCTGCACTGCATGCAAGGACGAACCAGGAGTTTTTTTGTAGGATCTAAACTTCTACTTTACTTCCTTCATGTTTTTAGAATAAACTTCATTATAAGAGAAATTGAATATGCATTAATTAAGTCCTGGGGGATTACTTCTATATATTAAGGATGAGACAAACAAAAAATTGAATTGACACTCTATGTAAAGGTTCTTATCAGAAACAGACTCGCTATTCAAGGGAAAAACAAAGGATAAGAATAAATGGTAAAACGTACTAAACCTTCATTAAACTGTGTTCATACTATGAACTGATGATAGTTTGTTTCTTATCTAGCTGGGTACCCTATAATCTAAGGATCAGACTGGGAACACAATGCCAAGAAGGGCAAAAATGATACCCTATTGAAGGATTGAGACCCTCAAAAGCCATACCCTAATGGGCAGCATCAGGGGCGGATCCAGGATTTTTTTTAGGAGGGGGTGCACTCGTCTCAGATTGCTCTACTTCAACACCAATAAACCACATAGTTTTTCTCTTTTTTTGCAAAATATCAGTTGTATTAGAAAACCGCAGGTCATCTCAAAGGGGGGGTGCACACCCCCTGCACCCTCCCCTAGATCCGCCCCTAAGCATGTACCTACATGTATCTTGCTCTTACATTGGAATACCCCCCTGAGATTAAGTAACATAACTTAATGCTTAAGAAGTGGTGCTTCTCAAGCTACATTAATTACACCAGGAAAGTTGAGAACGATGACTTTTCAGGAATAATTGTAAATCTGCAAACTCTCCAGGGATGCCACATGTTATGTCTCATGATATATTCAATTAATTCTGTCTCATTCCAATCATTTATTTAGGAATGCTAAGCAAACACAGCCATACAAACTACCCTGATAGAAAACAGCTGATTTTACGACACTATATACCCAATACTACTGGTTTCCCCACTAAATGACATTTGAGAAACCCTGGGAAACAATTGGTGGCATCATATTGAATATTGTTCCATACCTTTTATTCTTCTGCAGTGTTTGATGTGTTGCTCATTAATTTTTTTGTTTGTTTTCTTTTTTAGTTTATAGCCTTGATATTGATAGGAATAGCTGTTTATGCAAAAACATCAGCTAAAATAACAAGTTTGCCGATCCTTGGTGGTGTGGTTGCATGTGGTGTCTTTCTCCTCCTTGTTGCAATATTGGGTGTCGTTGGTGCAGTACGGCACAACCAAGTTATCTTGTTCTTTGTATCCTTTGCCAATTATTCGTGACAATTAATTTGTTATTTTATTTGCAGTTAATTAAGTTTATTGCTTGATTGCTAAATGTAACTTTGTTATTCCGTTTACGAACCTTAACTTTCTTATTTAGTATATGGTTATTATGTTTCTTCTCTTTATTATCCAAATGTCTGTTTCAATTGCTGCGGTAGCTATCTCTCATGACCAACAAGCCGGTCTTATGGAGGCAGGATGGAGGAGATCATCTGACAAAATAAAAAAAATCAAATCCAGTCCTTAAAAGATTGTTGTGGATTCAAAAATAAGACATTAGTAACTGACTCAAAAACTACGGACCCTGATGTTAAAGCCCTTGGGCATCCTAGTTGCAAGGAAGTAAGTAGAAGGAATTTGTTGTGTATTTCGCTATAACCAGCTCCAATTCCATTATTTGTTTTTTAAAAAACCAGAAAAATTATCTCCTTGATAGTCATTCTGTCCCTAAGTTTATGTTTTCTGTACGCTCTGCACCCAAGCAGGTAATTACTGAGTAATCTAGATAGCTAAGAACGCCTATCACAGTGTGAAACCTTGATATAACAAAGGGCCAAGGGGCTGGCAAAATTTGTTTGCTACAATGAGGTTTCGTTATATCAAGGTTCTTTTTTATGTATTTTATCATTCCTGGGGTAAAGAAAGTCGCTTGTTATAGTAAGGACTTGCTTATATAGAGGTTCGTTATACTGAGGTTCTACTGTAATATAATCTCTCACCTTTGTTAGATTTCCTAGTCACGTTAACTTACAATAATTTTATTAACTTTTGTTCAACGCGTTTAATATTATGTTACAGTGTATGTGAGTGACTAAACAAAGAAATGAATAAATAATTATTTTTGTCACTTCTTAAGGTCGTTTGCGCTAATTGTTTCTGCGCATCCCTACTGCGCACAAAATTCATAGCGCAATATCACGTCACGTCATGCATCGAGCGCGCGCTGAGAAAACTGTCTAAGCACATATAGGGCTGGTAACCGTTGCGTTAACTTCGCTTGCAATTTCCTTTCTTAGATGGTCGGTGACACCCCATTGTTTTCGGTAGACCACTTTCTCTTCCACTTCCCATAGATTGTGAAAAAATGAACAAAAAATCAATTTGGGAAGGTAAAAAATTTTCAATTTTTCTGTGTATGCGGCAACGAATTTTGGCATTCGTGCAGCTGTTAGAAGAGTATAAATGTGTCCGCTAAATGATAAAATCAACTCTGAGGAAGTTTTTTAGTTCACCGAATTTTGTTTATGGATCCACAAGAGCAATAATTGGCGGATAAAATTTCAATTCAGGGATTTATTTATAGACTTTTTGCACAAACAGGCACTTTATCCGTATGTAGTAACGAAGCCCGATTTCTCAGATTTTGGGTGATCTTTTGAACATCATATCTCGAAACAAACTCGGTGACCCCCAATTTTTTACATTTTTGACATGAGTATAAACCCATAATCTCAAACTGGTGAAAGTTTCAGAAAAAACTCAATGTTAGAAGATTTTCGCGCGAACGTCCTTAAGCGGTCAAAGGCCACGTTTTTTCTGGGTAGGAGCATATGAGCACCAAAGGTCCAAATATCTGAGACAATTGTGACTCGATATAGTTACTAGGGGGTCGTGGGTGGGGCATTCCACTCTAAACATTTTCGTGAAATTGGATGGTCATGCAGAGGGTGCAATTCACGAGTTTCAAATGCAATCACATAATCATCAGGCAATAGATGTTGCTTGTAAAACTTGAAAATCCAATAACACTTTCCACTGCATGCATTATCGATGGTGTAGAGTAATTCCATTAATACTATTACCTGGTCAATAGAGCAACGAGTCATTTGATTTAGCTTTGATTTAAGTAATATACCATATTCCCTCATATAATAGCCATCCCTCAATTAATCGCCTCCCTCGAATAATCGCCCCCTTTAAACGGAAATATTTAAAATAATTGCCTCCGTCAAATAGTCTCCTCTCTGCCACCCCTTTTGCCATCTTCCCTTTCTTTCATACCCTCCCTGTCAAGTTGAAGTGCAATTTTTTTATTTGATGGGATAAAAATTTATATACAGCTGTTGCAAGAAAGGAAAAAGTGCACGCGACAATTTCGAAAGGTATTGTGGGTGGTTTTTAGGTCACTGTTTTTCAAAGAAATTTCAAATAATGGCACGAGAGGCCATGGACATACGTTTGCGAGGGCTAAAGGAAAGCAAACAAAAGTAGGTTCGACAGCTACTGTGTCAAGAACAAGTGTATTGATCATATCACATATTACCTTTCAGGATTGTCGCGTGCACAATTTTTGCGACAACCTTTCTTGAAATAGCTGTATATTTAGGGCACAACTTCCAGTAAGCAATATTAATTTAAAATAGTCACCTCCCTCAAATAATCACCTTCCCTCAAATAAACACCCCCTTTTTGTGCGAAAAAAATAATAACCACCCCTGGCTATGATATCTAAAAAACTAAAGGTATACTCAAAGTGTCGTAATTTGTGGGTTAGCTGCTCTGAGGGCCACTCAAGGGAAGAGTGCTTCTGATTGGTTGAATCAAATTTCCCACACGCCACGACCATTCAGAAGCACTACCCAGATTTGGGTAGTGTGACGCATCATCAGTATGGAATTTCTGCTCTTGTTTCCCAGACGTAATTTCACGGGGAAACCAATGGTGGCGTCACAAAATGTCATCTGTCTTCTCAGGCTAAACTTCATGAAATAAGATTATTGTGAAAAAATTGTTGGTAACAAAAATGTAAACCACTCATCGCCCACCTTTACACTCCTTCTGCATGCATGGTCCAAAAAGACACCCTGTTCAAGGCACTTAATGGTGGATTTGTGCACCCTGTGTAAGACTCAAGACTCTGGAAACAATACTGCGTAGATCGGCACAGACCCGTATAGGCCAAATAAGGGAGTGCCCCTCCCAATCTCCCAGGGTTAGCTACCATAATTTTAATACTTTTCTGATAAAAAGAAAAGACTGAGAAGTAAAAATAAATTTCAAATAGGCCCCCCAAGCTGGGCACCTTATTGGTAAAAATAATCTTCATATGAACAAATAGTAATGTGTGACTGTTGTACAAATTCCTTTCAGTTAAAGTGCTGTAGAAATTTTGGTGACCCATGTGACAGCTGCGAGACTTGTTATAATGCTCTGGAGGGTTTAGTGAATCATCTTCTAAAAGTGGCCGGTGGTGTTGGATTGTTCTTCAGTTTTACTTTGGTAAGTGTCTTATGTACAAATGTGCGTAGCCTGTGATTTTGGGGCACTGGAACGTACTCCAAATTTCAAGTGATGGGGATGGTCATAGGGGGGCAAAAAACAAAACCCCAAAAAATCCCATGCAGAACTTACGCAGCCACTCATACAGGCACTACCATGCATGAATCTTCAGATTGTTTTGAATACCCAGAAAAATCCCTGTAGACTTAAATCAAGTCACTCAAGAAAATACTTGCAAAATTCCCCCAACAAAAAAAAAAAAAAATACCGGAATTAAAAATTCAAACCCAAAAAATCCTTCAATTATCCCTGTCACTTGAAACCCGGAGCACCCCCACTGGGTTTTGGGGAGCCTGAATGTACACCAACAGTAATAATGGTTAATAAGACTTCAACGGGAGTCTACTTTAGTTTGTAATTATATGCTTTGGTTGTACTAGAAGTGCATGCAGCTTAAATCCTACTAGTTTAAAAACACTCCTGACTACCTTAACTAGTTTAGAGAAGCATTTCAGGGCTGTCATTAAGAGCCAGGGGCCGGGGATTTCCTCCGGCTACTATGAGTGTGGTCCCTGGCTACTTTTATTGGAAAATAGAAGAAAAATAGAACCAAAAGAAATTCCTTGCTGTTTGATTCCCTGCCTACTTGTTGTATTTACCCAGCAACTTGAAATTTTAGTGACAACCCTGCATTTAATAAATTTATCCAAAATATAGAACATAACAGGGGGCAGCGGGCAGGAGGCAGCCATTCGGCTAATTTACAAGGTGGTTCGTAAGTTGTACTCAGACTGCTTGAAACAAATCTTATGATCAGGGGACTAATGATACCAGAACCTGCGCATTGTATGTCTCATGCAGACACACTGTCTACTATGCCAAACTGCCTCCATTAAAAAAAGAGCAATTAGATGACTGTGCTGCAGCCAAATAAGCGATTTGTGTAATAACAAGAATCATGATTAACAATAGAATTTCAAACTTAAAGAACTTCAAGAAGACAACCAAAATTGTAAGTTTCACCAGTTATCCATTGAGAATATTCAGCTTTTTCTCTAGAGCCTCAAATTAATGGGAACATGGTCTGAGTAAGAGGTGTGGCCCTGGTTGTTCAAACTTTAGACAGCAAGCAATTGCGCTATCCTCTGGGTGGAGATTTATCCAACAGATAAACTGGGGCCTGTTGCTTTTATCCACAATGCTTGCCAAAGTTTAACAGGACATTTGTAAAGTTTGATCTTTATAACCATTGGTAATTAAGGAACTTTCTGGTTACTTCAGGGACACTGTGTAAATTTCTTTTAACTCTGTTTCATAAATGTAACAGTTCAAGTCTGATCTCTGCTCCTCATTTTTTCTGCTGACTTCCTTCTCTGTTTCTATCTCTCACAGTTGTTTGGTGTATACATGACATGCCGATACAGGAATCAGAAGGATCCTCGAGCCAACCCTGGGGCATTTCTATAGTGAATATCACTACTGCACTCTTGCAGCATAAACGTCTTTTTTTACTAAACTAATGTGCTCTTTTAACACTCATTCAAGTGTCAACTAAAATAATTATATGCTGATTAATTGTTGCTTGGTGTCTTAGAGGTGACATTATGATTGTGAAAGATGATGGTGATGATGATAATGATGATAACCTTATTAACGTGGTTCAGTTTATTTCTTCTAATTATTTTCAGGCAACTGATCTTGATTTTATTTGATTTAATTGGATGCTTTTGGTAGATAAAGAGTCTGACAAAAACTTTGTATAGAAAAACAAGAAGTACATTTGATATGTATAGACACTCATGCATTTGTGATAATTATCTTTTGTAAAATAAAAGGTTGGGTATTTAAACCCTGGGGGGGGGGGGGTACTCCCTTATATAAGCTATATAGGTATGTACCACCCCATCAGGTAGGGCTTTTGTGCCAGTGGTCTGAAAACAGGTATACATGTTTCCCATTTTGGTGAATTGTGTATGGTTTTCGAGGGAACTATGGGAGTGTATGAACGTAGTTATCGTTTCAATTCCAGCTAAGTAAAACAGAAAGAGAAATATGAGAATTCAATATGGATTGGAAGAATTTTTTGTTTGCTCTCTAATCTAAGTAATGATAACATAATTTTTGCCTAAAGGCCAGGTCTGATCGGAAAATGGGTGTTGAGAATTACATTTTTTGGTCTGAAATAGGGTCAGCATTTGGAGAACCAGGTGGCACACCCCCACCAAGAATTCCCAGAAGTACCCCCCCCTCCCAGGTTTGAACCACTGGCCTTACATTAAAACCCCTAAGCTGTCAGTGTCCAGGGCCACCCACTTTCTACTCTATTGGTGTTATATATCACTTCATAAAAGAAATCAATATTGTTATTTCAAATAATGCAGTCAACACTCCCTTAACCTGTGTAAAGCCACCCCCTCCCCTCAGTTGACTGAATCAGGAAAAAGCCCCTTTCCTGATTTTTTTTTCCTGAGCGGAGGGGTGGTTGTACACAGGCTACCCTACAACACAGTAACCTAGAGTTGGTCCCTGGAATTCTTCAATTATTATCTTTAACTGAGACCCCTTTTACATTGGACGCCCTGTGCTGGTCCAAATGGTGTCCATCTTAGAGACAGCTGAGACATTATTAAATGTTGTTGGTAAATTATGTAAGCACTTGAGAATTTTTTAAGAATGCTTAAGAAGTTACATAATCACACAGCCTCCTTCCCAGAGGTTTCGGCGATTTCTGGTTTGACATCACCTGTCAAGCTAATCTGAAGAATTCATTCTGGTTCCTCCACTCACATGAAAACCATGAACTGGCCTGGGGACAAGGCTGATAAGCACATTGCTACAGCTCATTCCTCCACTTTGAGCACTTTTTTCTTGTGGAGTAACCCCTTTGTGCTTATGTAATTAGATAATGCATTTGGCAAATTTTTGTTGTAATATATTTGACATTACAGTACTAAACTGTAACTTAGTAATAGTAATAGTAATATTCATTTTGCTCTATTTAACTGTTTACATTTGAGCGAAGATGGGCAGATGAAATAAAATCAATATTGAATAATTTATGATTAGCAGCCTTGTATTATTAACTTACGTTAAGTCTTTACTGCAACTGTGTGAGCCGCCTGCAACACAGGCTACTGTTTTGTGAGTTTTTTTAATGCAAACAAACTGAAGGTTTTAAAGCCAACAAACTATTTCACAACTTATTTGTACCAGTTAAGTAGGTGATGCATATGAAATAAATCATACAAAAATTCTTTTTTGTGCCCATGTTACTTCCAAGTGCCTGCTACGCAGGCTAGCACCCCACCTCTATACACTCAACCCCTTTTAAGCTTATCATGATAGGGATGAGGAGAGAGACACTTTATGTATAAGTGATTTAACTTCATTAAACTTACAAGACAGCTTGATATCCAGTTAATTTTACACCGATTACTCTACACACAAAGGCACCAATAAAGGTTTCTCAGGGAAACTGCCCATCTACCTTCCCCTAAACCAACATTAACACTTACTTGTCACCTAGAGCAACATGTTGGCTTAGGGAGGGGTATGTGAGCAGCTTCCCAGAAAACTAAATTGAAAAAGCCCCAGCTTCTGATAAGCCCCAGTTTAGAAGCTTCTAGTACTGATAGAAATACGCACTTCCCGGGAAAGGGGGACTGAGTAGAGAAAATACAATACGCATTTTCCCTCACTCCCTACCATTCACCCTACCAGGGTGCTTTATACCGTAATCCGGAGCAAACAATTTCCATGTATTCTTCCCAAAACATTTCACAGACCAGTTATTTTTAGACTTATTTTGAGGCAAATCTACGATACATGTAGATCATTGCGTATGTTCCGAAGTTCCAAGATCCAAAGTTAAAATATTAGTTTTGAGCATTTTAACGAAAAATTTTTCCCTATGACAGAAGTCCACAACCCCCTTTCCCCCAAGGTGTGTACTAGGAAAGCTTTTAATTTCGACTCCGTTTTAGAAAATAAATATGCACTAAAAATGATATACCCTTCCAGAGAGCTCAGAGAAGCTCTCACTTTCAATTTTTAGGTCTGGTGGTGAGATATAACGTGATTACATTTTAACTGCATATCTTTTAATACAAACCTGTTAATATGTGGCAAGTTTGCCGCGGTAGTAACCTTTGTGGAAATTTTTGTTCGTAGATTGAAGATTTTACACACATTAGTCTAGGTTTCATTCGTTATACTGCAGAACATGTTTTGTACCTTGAATTGTTAGGAGAGCAGATGAGGCGGCCTGGAAAGTCAGCTAAATATGTTAAAGAACCCTCGTTCGGGCCTTGTCCTGTTGTGGCTTCATAAGAAGCACACTTTGACATACAACTCGAATCCTGTATTAGGTAATCGAATAATTAGATGTATTTACGCTGTATAAGCTAATAAGATAATAAGGTGTATTTACCTGTGTTCCTGTGACTTTATGAGTCTTTTTGGAAAGGATTTGAATCCGATCAGAGACAGTTAAAATTGTTGGTATCAAATGGTTGTTTGTCAAGCGCTTCGTAAAGAGGACGCGACAGTTTATACCTCTCAAGTTTCCAAAGAGAGTTACGTTAATACTTAACTTGAGACTTAACTGTCGCGTCCGATGTGCCAGACAAACAAACATTTGACACCGGAATGTTATAAACCGTCTCTGGTCGGATTCAAATCCCTTCCAAAACGACCCCTAAATACACAGAAACACAGGTAAATGCATCTTATTTTACTAGCTAATACAGCTTAATTAAATGCATCTTATTATTTTATTAGCTGATACAGCGTTCGTGTTCCCCGTGTGAGAAGTCACGCGCGCGAGCGGCTCGCGAGGGGGGTCACGAGAACGAGGAAGCGCGTTCTCTCGAAGCTTGCTTTGCTCACTAATGGTGTCTCGCATTGGGACAAATGGTCTTAGCTAGTGGCTTGATGACACTGAGGTAAACACTGGGCACTGAAATTAAGACTTCAAAATTTTAAAATTTGTTTCTGTCTTTATTTTATGTTTCAGTTGTTGGGCGTGTGTTTGACATCTCGCGTTCGCAGTCGACGGCAGAAACCATATTTGGACTGAACACAAGCTTGGCCGAACGCTGTCAAGTACACATATCATTACAGACGTTCTCTTGGTACTTGTTGGTGACAGCAATTTTACCTGATGTCTCAAAGGAAATTCAGTCATATTGATCGTGACAGTACAAAATGTTTATTTAATATCTGACATCCCGCTAAAGCTACGTTATAAAAAAGGGCAGCGAAAAGTGCAACTTGTCTTACAACATTGCTACAAAACGAGTTAATTGCGATTTTGCGCGTTTTACCACCCACAAATCAAACTAGGGCCACTGGGTGGGTACTCCTGGGAATTCTTGGTTGGGGGTGTGCCGCCCGTTCTCCAAATCCTGATGCTATTTCAGACCAAATAAATGTCTTTTTTCACATCCGTTTTCAGTCAGACCTGGCCTCCAAAATCCATACCCGGGTGTATTGATTACGGCCATGTTCAATATAGGGACAGGTGGTGCAATTCCTGTTGTTGCACCGAAAGGAACCGGGGGTGGGTCGTGAGTTACTGGTGTCGGTGCTGTTACTCTGGGCTCTAAGGAGGATGTCGCTAATATTTTCACAACGGCGATAAGCTACTAACGGAAGGTTTTGAAAAACTGTTAGGCTGAACAGTTTTCAAAAACCCTAATTTCAATCTGTTTCAATCTTCTTCAGTTTTGCCCATCCGTGCATCTGTTGTTTCTGTTATGTTATTTTAACCTTCCCTTAAAGTTTTAAGCGGTCATTTTTATGTTTCTCTTAATTGAACGGGCATTTTGTAATTTCCTAATTGACACAGCTCGTTAAAATTCATTTTAAATTTGCATATTTCTCTCTCTTTCTTATTCATTTGGAATGGAAACGATAAATACGTTTATACATTCCCGTAGTTCCCTCGAAAACCATACCCGATTCCAGACCAAAATGGGCAAAGTCAGAACCCCAAAGGGAAAGTCTACACCCGTTTTCAGACCAAAGCGGCGTAAAAACTATACCCTCGTGGGCGTCATATACCTATATGTCTTTTTATAAAGGAGTACCCCCCCTACCCCCCCGCTTCTCTTGGGTGTTTATATTTTGCTGAAATTGGAATGTAACGGGATGATTTAAAGTAATGTCATTGTTTAATAACCGACAAAAACTGAAAAATATTAGCAATTTTGGGAAATAGGAAAAGAAAAGGAAATAGGATGCCGGGAAACCTCAACAGCCGTAGGCAATTGGCAGGCCTGAATAAGTTATTATTTATTTGTTATTTATAATAAAGATAAAGTTATTGTAATATGTTTCAGAAAAATTACAGCTTGTATGGTTAATAAAGTTATAGAAAACTAAACTTTCGTAGGCAATTGGTAGGCCTGAATAATTGATTGTTATTTATAATAAAGATAAAGTTATTGTACTATGTTTCGGAAAAATTACAGCTTGCAGGGGCGGATCTAGGGGGAGGGTGCAGGGGGTGCGCCTCCCCCTCCCCGGCCCCCTGAGATGACCTGCGGTTTTCTAATACAACTGGTATTCTGCAAAAAAAAAAACTATGTGGTTGATTGGTGTTGAAGTGGAGGAAGAGACGAGTGCACCCCCTCCTAAAAGAAATCCTGGATCCGCCCCTGGCTTGTATGGTTAATAAAGTTAATAAAGTTATAGAAATAAACTTTCAACTTTCAGGAGCAGCTAATCGGCTCCTGGCTGATTCTGTTCTTTTGTAAAAGAAACTGGAAAAAATCAAAAGATATGTCATGTCCTACGGTTTCTTTCACCTGACAATCAATTATTTCTCGCATTTTATGCTTTAGAGGGTATACGTAAACCAACAATTGAACTTACCCTCAGTTCGTAACTCTACGCGCATACCATCCACGCGTGGTTGTGTTCGCAGGAGACTGGAAATGACCAATGACCTGCCAAACACCGCATGGGGACTCTGTGGAACTTAGAGCATGGCTCTAGGTTTCTTCGACTTCAAGATGTCGAAGATAAAGATAACGGAACGTACAGTAATGCTGAGCACTTAGATTTCTATGATTTAGCTATGGAGAAACAATGGTTGCTTTTGAATCCCTATCACAAACGATCCACAAAAAAAAAAAAACTTTTTTATTGATTTTGTTTATTTTCTCCTATTTTCTCCGCACAAGCACTCTGCTCTCCGCACTCCGCTGTCCCCAGTCCTCCCCTTTCACTAAACCGGAAACGACTCCTCCCTTGAGAGTCAAAATACTGACATTTCACTGCAAATATTCATTTTATCTTTGGAAGCGTATGCATTGCTCGGGACCTGCCGTCACAAAATGGTAATGTTTAAGTCTGTCACACTGGATGTAGTTTAAACACAAATTTTATCGTCAGAGCAACCATTTTTACTCCATTTTACTCTTGCAGGGAAGTTTATCGGATGATCAAATAGCAGGTAGGGGCGACGTGATATGAAGCTTCATGGATTTTCCAATCATCACGTTTTCCTTTCTTGTCAATTTTCCCGTAAAATGGTTCAACTACTCGATATGTTTTTTCTCTGTCATCTCCAGAGCATAAGGAAGCTTTTTTACTTTTCGATAAGAGAGGAGATGGAAAAGTTGACTCGGCTCAACTCGGAGAAATCCTTCGATCTCTTGGATTGAACCCCACCGAAGCTGATGTCAAGAAGGTTTTGAAGGAAGTAGATCCAAGCGGTAGGAAACTTGTTATAGTGAAGATATACTTAATAGTTAACACAACGTTAAAGAAAGCTTCGAACTGAGTAGATTCCTCATCGAAAATTGCCGACATATCCATCAGAGCTGCGGTTTCGAAAGCATGTTTACATAACACAACGTCGACGTTTTAGAATTGTTTAAGCTTATGTTTTTGCACATAATAAACCTCGGAAATTCTTTTATCGTTTTGGGCATTTTCCTCAGCCTTTCATAGGTTTCACTCTATAAAGTAACCCTTTCACTTGAGGAATTTAACGGCCTTTGCTTTGCAAGCGAATAATGAACGACATCATAACATACGAAAAATTGTTTGCTCCGACGGTTCACCAAGGAAGAATGTAGCTTAAACAAACTTCAGTTTCTGGTAAACAAAATTTGATGATTCCAGCCGTGATGCATGTGCAGGTCTACAAATTTAAGAATGTCTGTCGTGATCATTTAATAATCTGACCCTTTGTATTGATCTGCTAAGTTTCTGCATGGGAAGCCGGTCCGCTTTGTCCCAACAACAATGATTCTCACTGTGATTTTGCTTTGGGTCATTAATCATCAAAGCAAGGAGGTCTTTTACAATACCAGTAATTAGCAAATGTTGGGATTATGCATTTGCTGCAACAGACACATCACTGATCAGCTAGCTTAGTTCGTAGGTAAACAATGAAAGATGTACACCTCTGAGACCGGCCCCGACTATCCGTCTTAGAGAGGCAAGGCTGGCAACCCCCACGTCTTCAAATATTGAGAATTGATGGGAAAGGGATGATAGATGACGTCATAATGCACGGCATATTACATCATTTGTGAAAAAAAAAGTGCGAAAAAGATGTTGTTGGAATTGTAACATTTGACCTAACTGGTTTTCTTCCCATCAATCATATTATTGCTTATATTAAAATGTTACCTTAAACAATGCAAAATATTTGAAATTTCATTGACAGAAAGTCAAATCTACAAGAAATGGCAAACTTTGGCAATTATCCAGGAGATTTCAGACTCTTTATCTGGAGACTGGGAGAAACAGTTCAAAATCTGGAGTCTCCCAGATTATCCGGGAGAGTTGACAGCCCTGGAGAGGTGTCTCACGTAAAGGGGGGGACTTGTGGATTTATAGTATTGCAGTATTGAGCTTTTTTCAAGCAGTATTTTGGTAATTTTGATTTCAATGTGCGGTATTGCAGTATAATCCAGCCCTGCGGTATGCAGTTTTTCATCCTTCTGGCTTACAACGGTATTCAGTGAAAGAAGATCCTTCACAGTCTTGTGATACCATTCATTTAGCCTCTCCTGTCTAATGTAGGTCAATATTTGGAAGATTTCAGACTTAATGTTAAATGATTACACAATTTCGTGACACTGTTTCGTGACACTAAAATTTTCCCAGTCAAAGCCTTGCAGTTGGAACCTCTAGTACAACGACCACCTTCTGTAAATGACGGCGACCACTTTTTGGTCCTGACAGATAATGATTTCCCATTGTTTTTAACTTCTTGTAAGTGACCACCACTTGACAGGTTTTCTGATCTCTATGTTCGCTTTGTGCACTATGCTTGTTAGAATATACGAAGAACTTTAGTGACAACATGGAACTGCACATGTCATAACTTAGACATTGCATCCAATAAATTATCTTCCATAAAGTAGATATGTGCCCGGACCTCTTCTCGGAAAAAGCCCCATGTGGTTCGATTCTTGTAAATGACCACCTTCCAAGAGCCACCACGCAGTCATTGCATTTTGGGTGGTCACTTACGGTAGGTTCAACTGTAGTTAATGTAGAATGACTGAAAATGGCAGGGACCAGCACCAGGGGTCTAGTGTCTTATAGAGGTGTTCGTCTAATGGAGATGTCTGTTAAGAGAGATTTGACTGTAGTATCCTGTGTTATGCACCAATCAATTTGACACTTCAACATCCCATTACTAATGCCAGGGGAGTGGGGAATTTGACCATTGCCTGGGTGAGGTGGGAAATGTATAAAATTGGAAGTGTTATGTTTAACTTCTTTGGACAATCTGGGTCTGACAGCGTGGTTCGATAGTTGCAATATTCCTCATAGTGAGATGGATGAGTTTTTTAGGAAGAGAAATAGCTGTTTAAATAAATGGCTTGTTCAACTAGGACTTTAAAAGCTACATGTACATGTAAGTGGTTTTGAAGATAAAATGTATGGTAATGAGATCAACTCACTATTTAACTGCTCTGGTTCTCAATATTGCTGTTCAACGTAATGTGTTAAGTCCGGAAAATTCACTTAAGTCTCTTTTTTTTAATTCACAAATATTATGGACATTATCTACAAATATTTCTTCCTTGGGAGAGCATTTGACTACTACATGCTCATTTGGCAGACCTTGCATAATTTGGGCACCCCTCGTTCGAGTATCGGTTGACATTAGCCACCAGTTATTGGCCATTACATACCTGGTCAACATGTTGGCAGACATCTTGGTCGACACTCAGTCAACATGCCGGTTGACTATCAGATGACATGTCAGCCGACCTCTCGGCAGACAGTCAAGTAATATATATGGATACCGATACATGTATATACAGCAAGTGTCAAGGGTTGGCAGAATATCCCTCCACTATGTGTGGTACTTGTGTATAAAGTAATTTGTGTTAATCAGAACTCATATGTAAAAACAGACAGTAGCTCAAAGAAAGGTTTAACAAAGTAACCCAATTAAAAAATGTAGCTGCAAATTGACACACCTATTCTCTCAAACTCTGTGCCTCCTCTATCAAGTAAGGATACAAGTTTGAATTGCAAGTATTGCAAGTATCCACTCTCACATAGACTGGTCAAAACTCCAAAAGTACTTTAAAAATTGCTGCCTGGACAATGGACCAAACGAATTTGAACTGACATGTGGGAAATATGACTCCGGAGGAAATATGACCAAGCATCAGTAAAGTATCAGCCTATTGATTGATGTATCGGCTGATTATTGGTCAACATTCTGACACACTATTGGCTGACATGTTAGTCCTCATGCAAGCCGACTCTCTGTCAGCTATGAGTCAACATACAGCGTACACTCGGCCAACTGATGTCAACCAACATATTGACTGATCCTGCAAAGGACTGAAATTTTGATTTTAGTGATCTGAAATGTAAGGGTAAGGATTGCGAGATACATACTGCAAACTCACACCTACAATGCAAAAATGTGTGTTTCGTTTGTTTTCCTTTTCAGGTAATAAACGCATCTCATTTGAGGAATTTTTGCCAATTTTCCTTTCAATTGGAGGAAAAACATCAACCAACACTTCCATTGAAGGTTTTGTAGATGGTTTTGCGTGTCTTTGACAGAGATGGAAATGGCCAGATCTCAGCTGCTGAACTGCGACATGTTCTCACAGGACTTGGTAGGGTAATCATTGATACTCTCTGGAGAGTACGCATCATGGGATGAGTATACTCTGACTCACAGAATGATGCATACCCTCTGCTTATAGAATGGTGGGTGCCAACAGCAGGAAATAAATGGTGAAAAAAAGCCAAGAACAAAATCTAAAATGCTAGAATTATTGGTTTTGATACTGGTTGGTTCATGTTCATACTGTAGTTAAGTTTTTCTGGAAACTTCTACACCAGAGATTCACACAGTTGTTCTCTTTTTTTCACAATTTCGCTCCCTCTCAAAATATACCTTAAACCTTTGATGACTGCTTTGGTCATTTCATTTCATTTTGAAGGTGCATATTTTCGTTCCTGGACCCATTTAGCTGTCTGTAATAAGTTGCTAAGCAGCAACATCAGCAAAGATCTTTCCATCGATACATCCAAAGAAACACTTTTGGGAAAAATCCATGCCAATTTTGCTGTTTACTCACTTCTCTTTGAGGATTAAATTTGTCCCTTTCCTAAAAAGCTAGCCAGCCACAATTCCAGGCAAAAGTAAGATGATAAAGCTGGTAACGAAACTGCTTATGAAGAAGAAAGGCAAGGGGAAAAGGAGAGTGAGGAGAAAGATTGAAATAGATTTGGCAAAAATAAACAAGCTCAAAATTTGGCTTTTGCGCATGTGAGAAAGACAAAAAAGCTGTTTACATGTAATTATATGTGATTAGCTTATGCCCTTCTTATAATAGAAGAAGAAGAAGAAGAAGAATACTTTATTTATCCACGGTTGTCTCATCAGGCATATCTATAATAATTAATTAAAATTTAAAATTTAAAATTACAAACAATTTTATATATTACTACTTTACTTATTTACAAATATAAAATATAAAACCCTGCTTTCCACGAGAGCCGTGCATTACTAATCTAAAAACTATAACTAATTGTAGTAAAATGACCCGACTACCGCAGCCCGGCTTTGAAGCTTTCTAGTGTTTTTGCTTGCCGTAACCCAGCTGGCAGACTATTCCAAAGCACCGCACCAGTATACCTGCCAACTCTCACGCCTTAGGCGTGAGTCTCACGCCTGCGGGTTGAAAACTTCGATCTCACACCGGCTCACGCCTGCGGGCCAATTTCTCACGCCTGATTGAAAAATGTGAGTTGTTGCCGTCTTGCTTGACACAATTTTCAAAAATATGTTAACTCAGACCCATGTAAGGAACGAAAACCATGTGTAAAATGAATAGATGACAATACCTTCCTCGTGATCTCTGATTTTGTGGATAAGTGTTTTCTCGATAACTTCGCCTTCGGCAGACTTCGGACTTCTTCGGGAATCTTCGGAAATGATCGTGTCGTCTGCAAAAATCCCAGCACTCCCAGGATAAAAATCTCACGCTTATAACTCAGAAAAAGTTGGCATGTATATATATGCCAAACTGACTTTGCACCCTAATAACAGCTAGCTGTATGTCACAACACAATTTTGCAGAACAACACTGTTTAAACTAGTCAAGTCATTTTTAAGGCCAGTGTCTCCCCAAAACTGCCTAACTCTGTAACAGGTCAAGCCCAAGGCTAGCTTTTGTTGCTGATGGTAAATTACAGCTTCCAAAGTTCACGCATGCAGATTTGTTTGTTGCAGTTTCGTTTCTAGGCAACTGTGGACACAAACCTGCCAATTCTATATGCGCCCATGTAGATTGTATTTTGCTAAGCAACCATAGATCCACCTCTGGCACAAACCATTTCATGTACTCATTAAACCATTTTCTTGCTTGGTTCAATAAAAAAAGTTTTACATCGAACAAGATGAAATATGCAAAGCATTGTTAACCAAGAAACTGAATGAATATTTGAATGATTGTACATCTTTTTGCTTTTCTGTAAGTATTTTGGACTAATTCTCATTAGGGGTGTCTCTTGGACAGGACTCAGGGGTTTATTAGAAGGGGGTGTCTAATAAAATTTTGACTTTGTAGTGGGGGTGTTTTTATCAGATAAGAGGTATTTATTTGGGCGTTTATTAGGTCATTTATCGTTTATGTTATATTTTTTAGGAGAGAAAATGACTGAAGAAGAAGTAAATTTACTAGTCAGTGGAATAGAGGACCAACAAGGACAAATTAACTATGAAGGTATAATATGTAAAGAGTGTTTGTTATTGTTCAAGTTGATATTAGCAGAGCTCCACGCACGTAGGCAAGTGGAGCCCCATAGCTAAGAAAATGTGGTTCTCTATCCATCCGAGAAATTTTGGTAGTCATGACTGTACATCGGTCCATTCACCTGTCTGTCCACACCACATGACAACCAATGTAAAACACATTGGAAATCCATGTTGTAGTCAATTGACAGTTATCAAAACGGGGTATCCACTGACCAGTATCACATGACTGTATTGTTGGCCTAGGTATTGACTCATTGAGCTGAGAGTGGATGTTTTTTTGAAGTTATGTGCTGACAAGTTACTAGTTTTCAACTGATCTCAGGCTCAAATCCAAATAGATTCTTTGCAATAGTTATAAGTTAATTGTTTGAAATAAATTATAAATTTATTAACAGGAACTCTGTCTTTAGCCCTGGCTAAATCTATGTATTAGTCTTTTTACTATGTTCTCAGAAATATCTTTATATCTCTCAATATATGGGGTGTTTTTTTTATGTCTTAGCGCACTTGCCGCACTCGCCCCCAACCTGCTTCTGATTTGCAGACAATATAGTATCAGGCACACACTAAAAAGCAAAATGAAGTCCTTTTCCTTTTTGATTTCCCTCCCCCCTCCTTCTTTCCCCTTTCAACCCCCCCACCCCATTTTTCTTTTCATTAAGTTTCCTTCCGATGGAAAAGGTGTTTTTGGGAAAGCTTTCAGGATGATGGAATGAGATGTAGGTTCTGCTGCCCTATTTCACTACACTGTATTTTTTCTTTGCTTAAGGAAAGGACTATAGACTATTGTTAACCCTAGAGTGATCAACATTAATTCTCTCCTAACAATAATTATCAATTGAAAACCAAGAGAAAAGGCTAAAGAATGAATAAAATGATCACTTAAAGGGAAATGCTTTGACCTTTTATCTTAGTAATTCTCTCAACTAATTCTTTTAGGAATGTGTGGAGGTCAGTCTAGAGAATTGTATCTTGATAGTGGGGTTTCATCTTTTTTGATATAACGGCAATCATTAGGCCAAAACTAATTAGCACGCTGGATGGTTGAGTATATCCCCAGCGTGGGGGGAGGGGGTACTCAAATAAGTTTTATACAGGGAAGCTCCGCCCCGGGGTTTAATACCTTACCTTTTTATATACTGTACCATTTATGACAGAAGAGGTACCCCTTTCGTATACCTTCTAAGTGACAAGTGGAATTCTTTTGACAAACCTAGTTTACAACTGTTGCATCCTTTTTTAACTGCTGCAAATGCCCTGTCTTTGAAATATGAATCGATCACAAAACCAGAACGTATTCTCGACTTTTTCACAGCCTTAAAATGTATCTGTTAGCCCTTTTGGGCCTTTTCATTGTCAGAAATGACAGATTTCCTTGCCCTTTCAAATACTTCAACAAGCGAAATCCCTACCCTTTTATATTTTTGAAGCCTGAAAAAGGTAAACCTTCGAGCGGAGCCTCCCCGTATAGTTTGGTATGACTAGGCACTGCTACTCACAACAATGATATTAAAGTATTTCTTTCGTCCTGTACAGAATTTGTCAAGATGGTTATGAGTGGATAAAATAACAGCTTTTAAAGACGATAATAATAGTCATTTATAGTGATTTAGAAATATGAAGAAACAGAAACTGTTACTAAGAAACTAAGAGCTGATATCATTGAGACGTCTGAAAACGAAAATGGAGGGATACCGGTAAATGTACATTAAATTATAAGGATATACAAGGTGCAATGTTACTTGACATTTATTGACATATTTTCTATAAATCTGATGTACTGCAGAATAGACTTTTGTATGCTACTTTTGTAGGCAAATAAAGAAGCCTGTTGATTTTGATCCCTTGGGCCACAATTATTTGTGTAATCGTGAACATCATTTTCCTCTTAAGATTGTAACGTTTCCAGATTGTATCCACACGCATGAAAGTTGAAAATGCCAGGTTGAACTTTTTTAGAGGAGAGGAAGCAATGAAAAAACTCCTTTTTGAGCGGGGGGTGGACTTGTGAGAAAAATGGCGAGCCTGGGGAGTAATAAATTTCATTGACACCACTCCGAATAGCGCTCCACCCCCCCCCCCGTTCTTAAAAAAATGAAAGGTTACTTGAATGCTCTTCATTATTTATTAATATTTATAAAGGTTCCTTTTTATCAACTCACGAATGAAAGAAGGTTTATAGTTAAAAGGAAAAGTATTTCATGATTCTCGAGGGAACCACGGAAGGACCAGCCTAGTCCCTAGGCGTTCTCTCTTGATCTGTTATCTGGGAGAGAGCGGGCGAGTATCTCTCGGTGACGTCACAGCTCATGGTAGAGTCCAGGAATGACCGAGCCGAAAACGCCTGGGGACTAGGCTGCGGAAGGAGTACGGAAGTGTATGAACGTACTTGTCGTTTCAATGTCCAATAGTAATATGCGCATTCAAAATTGATTTTAAGAAATCTTTAGTCTCGCTTGCTTTAGCAGCGAGATTCTCAAAATGCAGGCGTTTCTTTTTTTTATCGTGTGTCCGTGCCAATTGCTGGTTTTCAGTGTCACGCCATTCAAAATAGATCAGAATAAAAATCAAAGCCGTTCAATAGATAAAGTCCAGAATCTGGGAAATGAAAGGAGGTACATATACAAAGACCCTCGCCAAGATTCAGGTCAGAGGAATATTTCGTATACGAGATATCCGAAGAAATGTTGTACCCAAACTTATAGAGATTTGTATGGAGACGCCATGCTGGTGCTCACCTGAATGAGCTCCAACATGACGGACGGAAACCAACAGAAACATGTGTTACCGAGTTTTGCTACAAAAGCGTGAATTTATTCTTCAAGAAACTCATAAACATTAAAGTAATTCTTTTTCTTATACATGAACTGTTTAGATAGCAAATTTCCTGAAATAAGTCTTTTTTTTTTAACCTACATGACAGCTCTTTTGGCCGTCATGTAAATGCCGCGTCAAACAAAACCAAGAACCCTTTTGAAGCGAAAATTTGTATGAAAATTAGTTCTCAGCGGCTCTAATGCACCGTGAAAGTGAACTCTCGGTAGGATCGATAGTTTTTTAGTTTGAATTTTAGTGACGTCATGTGAAAACCAACAACAACGCAGGCAATTCCGGAACGGGTCGTTCCCTCGGGAGAAAAGGCGGGACGAAAGTTTTCAAGTACGGGCGAAAGAGCCCCTGGGTACCGACTATCACCGGACCATTTCCAAAAATTCAAGCAGATGCCGGCTCCTGATTGGGCACAAAAAATGCTTTGTATTATTGTGCCCAATTGGCGAACACATCTCCTGAATTCTTTTAGTGTGTTCGTACACGACAGCTCTTTGGATCAAGGGATTCACGGCTTGTCTGGCTCATGCAGCAAAGAAATAAACGCAGTCAGGAAACTTTCAGTTTGATATAAAATCCCCATCTGATTTCAAAATACTGTCTGCCCGAAAACTAAAGACGCTTTTCCAAAAATACAAGCTTCAGCTTACAACAGGTATTCACCCTTGCTTCGGCCACGGCTTGCATAAATATTTATAGAGAGTTTTTAAAAGATACCACGACGGCTGACAGCCACGAAAACGTGGCATGAAAAAATGAATTCATATATTTTTCAGTCTCTGTCGTAATTACTCCAACTAGCTTACTTTGTCAAATGCAATCGAACTCTTCTATCAACCATATATCGTCCATATCCAAGTTCATGGGGAGAATGAATTGTCATTGCTTGTTTACGTCCAGTCCACAAAACGTGAAATTAGGCATTTTCACGGGTATAGTAGTCGTGCAGTTGACGGCAAAGAAATGTACAAAAAAGCGTGATGCACGTGCAAAGTTGTTTTGCCTTGTCAGGTTTAATTGCTTATTTGATTTTCTCGTCGCCGCCCCAACTTAAACTTCCTATTATTTACGATACCTTGTGGTCCGTCAGAAACAGAATATTTTCGGGGCAAATTTAATTGCTCCTGCGGATAGCATCCCAAACGTTTTTTCGACTCATCGGTAGTTCCTTTGTTTCTGGTTAGGAACGTAGAAAGTAAAAGTTTCTCTTGCACGCACAAGCTTGGTGAATGTGGCGAGACAATAGCCGTCGTGTACAGTAAAAACCCGCAACTAAGAACCTACATTTTTAGGTGTTAGCCTAAACAGGTTCTTATATAAATGGTAGGTAACAGAATTTTAGGCTAGTTAGGTTCTTAAAATGGGTTCTTAATCCTGGAGAAAAAACAATTAAAACATCTACATATTGCTTAGTATGCTTTGTAAGTCTACATCTCTTGCACTCATTTTTCTTTAAAAAACATTTTTACAACAATGGCAATCTGCTTTTTTTGCTTCATATGATTCTTGCAATGCAGCTGTAATGTACTAGCATGATTTTAGAAAATAAGAACGTGTTTTAAATTTCTTATGCTAAATAGGTTCTTGTTTATTAACAGGGACCGCGCAGAGGGAGGGGCTGGGGGGGCTCTAGCCCCCCACTTTTTTGCAAGAATAAAAATAAATTTAACAAAAAATAATTTCACAAAAGTAACGGAGTGAAATATAGCAAAAAATCGTTGATTCGAAAGTGACCAGAGTTACTGGCAAAGACAAACGTGCAGATAAATAGACAGAATGAAGCATTAGTCGTTACAATTGTAAAATATTTCTTCGCTTCTAACCTAGCAGAGGTAAACGTCTTTTAAATGGCTTCTTTTTCCTGCAGACCTCTCAGGAAAACGCGTTGTTTCGTAGTTGGTCAATTTCGATCCAAAGTAATAACTGGGTTTAGTTTATAAGGCGATTCTCAAACAAATTGTTTATTAGTTTCAACCTTGATTTTTGGAAGATCATGAAGTTATTGTTTCTCTTGTTATTGTGCGTCCTGATTTTAGCTCGATCAGCGCGAAGTCCGTCTTTTGATGTCAGGCTTCACGGCTCGTTGAGCATTCCAATTGCAAGTTTTGTTGAATGCGGTCTGTTTATAAAAACATTTTGTCATCGAAAGTACTTAAACCGCGGAATTGTGTATAGCTCTGGTCATCAAGCCCGGGGGGGGGCACTCCCATATATTACCTATACGGGTATGTGCCGCCCAACGGGGTCGTGATTTTGAAGCTCCTGATTTAGAACGGGGTATCAGTTTCAGAGGCGTTTTCTAGAACGGGGTATAAAAAATTGTGGATCAGATTATGAAGAAGCATTTATTTGATGACAAGTCAAACAAATGAAGAAATATCCTTCTAAAAGAACAGGGCTATTTCAATTTTCAAACTTTCTAGAACGGAGTATAAAAAATTGGCCCATTTCTAGAACGGGGTATCAATTTTAGGGGAAATTTTTCTTAGAACGGGGTGCCAATTTGGAGTCCCGGGCGGCACATGCCCACCCAAAAAATACCCAAGTGCCCCCCCCCCCCCCCGGGTCATCAAGGAACATTCAATCCGGCGGTTATTACGAACAAAGAAGTCCACATGGTGCACGGCAACATAAATACGAACGACGAGACTTCACATACCACTAGTAATGCAAAGAAGAGATCTCTTAAAATTTCTGATTATTTTTCCAAACAAAATGAAAAACCTTCTTTATCTGGTGAGTAAACTCTGCACAATTTTTGCTACTTTTTTCTGAATCTGTTCTATAATTGAATTTTCATTCACTAAATTATTTTCAGTTACCGTTTTGTTTTGCCGTGTAAATATTTTGAATGAATAATTAAACAATTATTGAACTCGGCTTTCGTATGATATGAAGATATACAGATCTCGGAGGGTGTTATCCACCGGGCTCAAGCCTTCGGCCTTGGCGGATAACCCCCTCGATCTGCATAACTCTTCACATCATACTCAGCCTCGTGCAATAATTGCTCAGTAATTATACAGCCTTGAGTTCAAGGCAGCTCAAGCAGTTGGATTTCTGGCTTGTTTATAGTAATTAAAGGTTGATATCAGTAGTATAACATAACAATCTATGATATTTCAATTTAGTGATAGTGAATTTTCAGACCCGATAGCAACATCACTGAAGATGTGGAAAAAAATCAATAGTTTTATCGTTATTCGCATTCTCCGTCACTTTAGAGAAATTGAATAGAAATCCACAAGCATGCCCCCCCGCACGGGCCCCCCCCAAAAATTTTCCTTCACGCATTCGTCTTTAGCCCCCCTACTCGAAAACTTGCTGCGCGGTCCCTGTTATAGGGGTTATAAAAGACCAATTTTAGGCTAACAGGTTCTTAATTTTTAGGTTCTTAGTTGCGGGTTTTTACTGTACAATAACTCAGGAGAAACTGTTCGCCGATTGGGCACAATAATACAAAGCATTTCTTGTGCCCAATCAGGAGCCAGCATCTGCTTGAATTTTTGAGTCGCTACCCAGGGGCCCCAGGGGCTTGTCTGCCCTTTATTGAAAACTTTCGTCCCGCCTTTTCTCCCGACCCGACTGACTGCCCTTAGGTCTCCGAGGATGGGTCGGTCTACGAATTCTATCGCTTGAAAGCGTTGATTACTTTGGAACAAGTGATTAATTCAGTGGTCCGAAAAACCTCTTAATGAGCAAAACTTCGATAGAGAGGCTAACTAGTAGGGTGTTGTAAGGTTTCATTGTATGCAAATGAGTCTTGTGCTGAGCATGCGATCTATTTTTGGGCTACGAATGAAATGACGCTCCATGTTCATCACGTTTCCTTGATTTTCGTGCATTACACACGCGTTCTAATCAATTTATGAATACTCGACCGTCGATAAAGTAGAAAGTGAAAAACGTTTAGCGAGGAAATCCTGTTTCGTGTAGAATTAATCGTCTCCTAGACTGCGAGCAGTCTCTTATTTCTCTTTTGCGTCGCA